AAAAATCTATATAGTTTTTAAAAAATACTGTAATAATCTGGTCACGCCAATTGACTTGCTGCCACACGTCTCGAAGGCGTTATATCAAATGCCAGGATTATTATCATTATTATTAATCATAAATGGAGTTAAATGAATGTATCAAGTCATCCCCTTCTCCTCAAACTCACACACAGATACAGACACAGTGTTGAGGTGCTTTATAACAATGATATCAGCACACAGCAGCTTTCCAGCTGAAATTAGTGTAGTGCGGAGAGGGATGCGCGTGTGTGTGGGGTGGGGGGGAGGGGTGTGGGAAGGGGATTATGAAAAGGATTGTAATTAACATTTCAAAGCAAGCCCCCAGGCATTCCTGCACTTGTCAGGTTTTGCTTCCTGCTAGAGATAGTGACTAACTCATTGCTTCCAATGAGTTTAAAGCGATTTTAAACGCTTTGAATGATCTGTTTGGAGGCTCGAAAGATTGTCGTCTGCTTAGCAACGAGGCCAGACCAGGCTCCTAAAGACCTATAGCCCCAGGCTGGCAGTGGGTCTCTTTGTTAAACCAATTCACATTCAGTCACTGGATTAATTTTTTTAAAAACAGTGTTTACTTTCAACCCAAAACTGTGACTTTTTCTTCCTCTGAAGAAATGACTGGGTTCAAGGCACATCTCGAGACCCCCCTCTTCGACCACGCATTCATTTGATCACCTCCAACCCCCACCGTACCCTTCCCTGTGTCTTTCAGCTCCTTGGGATGTGAAATGTGCTCTGCAAACTGTGTTGCTCAGACTGTCCTCATCACGCCTTTGAGGCGTCTCGAAGAGCTCTGCGGAACACGCTGTGAAAGTCAATTGTAAGGTGAATTCACTGTAAGGTGAATTTTGCGGGCGAAACGTAGGTGAAAATATACAAGGGTTAGTGATATTTCCGAGTGAAATCGGTGCCATCCTCCAGCAGATGGGTTTGGAGGATTTTATTCCAGTGCTCAGAGACCAAGAGGCCACGTGAGGTTGGGTTCTGTCATCGCACCCATTGGTTCGAGGGGGAAAAATTTAATTTGGAGAGAATAAGGGGGAACAGGAAGGCAGCAAATGAGGGACAGCTTGTCTATCCGTTCAGTTAATTCGGCTCTGCAGATATTCTCCGTCAAAGGTCCCTGTCCATCTGCTTCAGGCCTGATTGGAACTGTGAGCAGCTTGTCTGATCGTAGAGACATCTTATCCTTAAAGTGTCCTGTGCCGTTTCTTCCACTGCCTACAAATGCAAGCCAAGAGCACACAGTAATGCCTCGCCAATAATAATAGTAATAATCCTTCGAGACGTCTCAAAGCGCTTCACAGGGTATACTGTGAAATGTAGTGACTGTGTGTTTTGTGGGTGAAACGCGGCTGCCAATTGCGCCCAGCAACGTCCCCACAAACAGCCGTGGGTTAAAGTGACTGAATTATTATTATCATGCTCGCTGCTCGGTAAAACAGAGGCGTGTGTGCGTGTGTGAAGTCAGGAAACTTACCTAAGGTTTCGCCCTGACCTGATCTGCCCGGGAATTGAACCCAGGTCCTCTGGCTCGCGAGCCGAGGGCTCTAACCCCTGAGCCACAGGACTCCACGGATACTGACATGGGCTGTTTACCTGAGGAAGGTGTTTCACAATGGGGAACAGGCCCCTGCTTGTCGGGTAGGAAAGATTCCCAGTTGTTTGCCGGAGAGACACCAGAGAAGGGCAATTGACTTGACAGCCCGAGGCACCATTAACATCGCTCCTCCACTGAGTCAGGCATTTCCTGTCTGGAGACACATTTTCACACCACACCTGTTATGAAATGCCAAATCTTTTCACGAAAACTTAGAAATGGGAGCAGGTTATTCAGCCCCTCGAGCCTGGTCCACTATTAATAATAATAATAATCATAAGCCTTGCATTTGGTACACAGCCTTATTGCATCTTCGAGATGTCTCAAAGCGCAGGATACACTGTCAGGTTTTTGAAGGGATTATTACCCCCGGAAAGCAATCCGGAAAGCAATCCACCAATCGACTAACAACTGGGACCCCGAGAGAGAGAGAGAGAGAAACCCCTTGTGTTTTCCAACCACGGGATCTTTAAGGTCCACCCGAACAGCCGAACAGTGGGCTGAAGCATCTCATTTAGTGCTTAGTGTGTCATTTGGAGGGAGACAGTAAGGTTTACCGGCATAAACCCTGCAGGTAAAATCGCTCACTCGCGACTGTTTGCGGGGCTTTTTACGCTTGAAAAATGGCCGCTACGTTCCCCCCCCCCCACCATGAAACACATAGTTACTACACCTTACAGCAAATTCTCTGCGAGGCGCTGGGAGAGTTTGGGGGGCACTGGGTTGGTAAAAAAAACACAAACACTGGCACCGTGTCACAGCCAACAATGAGCCGAGGGGTGAACGAGACGGTCAGCGTTCGAAGGAGTTATGCAAAGAGATTGAAACCAGAATTGACTGGGTTTTGGGAACACTGTGTTGGCGCTGAAAGTCCGTGGTGATTAAACCCATTATTTATGTAGCGTGTCTGCCCCGCTTAGTGCGGTTGAGGCGCTTGAAGGATAGGCTGACATATTTGAGGTGAGTTACATTCCGTGTATCTCGTTGGGTAATCAACCAGGGCTGGCACGTTGCCAACATAGCCTCCAACCAGAAAAATCTCCAATCCATTCTTGTTACAGATCTGAATTCATCCTGAATTCTGCAATATAATAATAATAATCATAATCATCCTTGAATTTGATGCAGCGCCTTTTCACGTCTTCAAGACGTCTGAAACGCTTCGCAAGATACACTGCACTGTACACTGTAGCTCAGTGGTTAGAGCACTTGTTTTGCAAGCGAGAGACCTGGGTTCGATTCCCAGCAGGGTGTGAAATCTTGGGCAAGTTTCCTTACTCCACTGCCTGATGATAATCCCTCAAAAAAAACAATAATAAATTTCTCACTTCAACCCACGACTGTTTGTGGGACGCTGCGGTGCACAATTGCCTGCTAGTTTGCCCACAAATATACGGTCAATTCATTTTACAGTGTATTCTGTGAAGTGCTTTGAGACGTCGAGAAGACATGAAAAGCGCTATATCAAATGCAAGGATTATTATTATTATAGTGACTGTATATTTTGAGGGCAAAACGCAGCAGCCAATTGCGCACTGTGTCGTCCCCACAAATGGTCGTGGATTGAATGAACACATTATTAGGTTTTTAAGGGATTATTACGCCAGGGCCTGTGGCTTGCGAGACGAGTGCTCTAACCACTGAGCTACAGAACTCCATTCCACACTGACCCCCATAACCTATCTTTTTAAGGGAAAAAAATCCAAATAACAATACTAAATTGGTCACTCAATCCACGACTGTAGAATTTACGCAATTGGCTGCCGCGTTTCGCCCACAAAATACACAGTCAATATGCTTCATAGTCAATCCTGTGAAGCGCTTTGAGACGTCTCGACGTCGTGATGATGCACTATATCGAATGCAAGGATTATTATTATTACAACTTGTTTTATGCGAAACGTGTGACTGGTCAGCTCTGAAACGTCTTCAGATTGTGTTGTCATTAAACCTTAAAATGGGTTAAACCCTTAAAATACCATGAAAGCATCTCATCAGTTCCTGTCGTTCATCCACAGCTGTTGCAGGAAATTGGCCCATAACTCAAAATGAGGTTTGCAATGGTCTGTTACGGTTACTTTGTAATTGCATCATTCATTGCGTTTTCCAGTCATAACCACAATTTCCCATTATCTGAAGGATGACATAACCTGCAAAGCTTTCACTTCACTGCAGTCACTACACTTTACAGTATTTCCTGTGAAGAGCTTTGAGATGCCTCGAAGACCTGATAAGGAGCTGTTATCAAATGCGATGATTAATATTATTATTATTAAAACCAGAGTTTGGGTTTTAACACATTCACATGTTTGATAATTTTACTGGAGGATTGTACAACAACCTCTGCTGATAATCACTGCAGTCACACACCCAACTCACACTCTCACACACCCAACTCACACACCCAACTCACATTCACACACACCCAACTCACACACCCAACTTACACTCACACACCCAACTCACACTCTCACACCCAACTCACACTCTCACACCCAACTCACACTCTCACACCCAACTCACACTCACACACCCAACTCACTCTCACACCCAACTCACACTCTCACACCCAACTCACACTCTCACACCCAACTCACACTCTCACACCCAACTCACACACCCAACTAACACTCACACACACCCAACTCACACTCTCACACACCCAACTCACACTCACACACCCAACTCACACTCACACACCCAACTCACACTCACATACCCAACTCACTCACACACCCAACTCATACACACCCAAGTTACACTCACACACACCCAAATCACACTCATACACACCCAACTCACTCACACACCCAACTCATACACACCCAACTCACACTCATACATACCCAGCTCACACTCACACATGCAAATCACACTCACACAACTCACACTCATACATACCCAACTCACACTCATACACCCAACTCACACTCACATTCCCCTCTGAACACACCCAATTCACACACAATCCCCAACGAACACACCCAACGTTTACTCATACCCACATCCCTCACTGAACACACCCAACTCACACTCAGCTTAGTCTGGGGAATTACAAGAATGAGGACATCCCAAGCCACAACCTCCTGACTCAGAGGGTAGAGGCTCTGAGCCAGACCGACACACAAAGGATGGGTATCGCGAGTGGCCTTTACACAGTGTCTGTCCCCTCGCACAAATGTCCCGAAGAAATATACTTGAGTTTAAAATGCATCCTCTTGTAATGATCATGTATCTTCCTGAATGCAATAAATAGTTAGAGCTTTGCCACACAAAACACAGAGGATCCATTTTACAGTGTATCCTGTGAAGCGCTTTGAGACGTCTCGAAGACGTAATCAGGCGCTGTATTGAATGCAAAGATTCTTCTTCGTATTATTATTCCAGGGCTTTGTGTAAAGATCGATGGAATTATATCAAAACCATTCACCTTGCCTTCGCCGCTTCCTCCCTTTCCTCCTTCAAGACCTTTCTCTTTGACCGTACCTTCAGCTCCCCTCTCGCCTCTCTTCCCCCTCCTCGCTCCCTCCCTTCCCTCCCCTCACCCTGACCATTTCCCCCCTCCTCGCTCCCTCCCTTCCCTCCCCTCACCCTGACCATTTCCCCCCAATGCTCGGGTCCCGACCCAACTGTACAGCGCCTTGGGACGTCCTCCCAACGTGAAAGGCGCTCTATAAATGCAATCTTGTTGTTGTTCACAAAAAAAAACACTTTTAATCACATCCCCAGAAATGGTTACAAAGGACATTAGGATGAAAGCAATATTACAGTTCAATAAATTAAATCATAAAATATCAAGTTTCTTTCCAGAGCAACCGAGACAAACATCCCGGCTTCATGCACGAGTCACTACCTTATATTACGATATTGTGAGACAGTAAACTTCAGAATGGCACTACTTACCAACAAATGATATTTACACAGTGCCTTTCATATTGGGAGGACGTCTCAAAGTCCTGACTAATTGAAATGGAAATTAATTTGCTCAAATCCGCTCTCCTGTTCTCTCCCCCACAATTATTATTTTATTATTATTATTATAGTGCTGTGTGCTCCCATACCTGGGAACTCACCTGTTTCTGTGTGTGTGTGTGTGTGACCTTGTTTGTGTTCCGCTGAGTGTGTGTGTGTCTCCATCTGGGAACTCCATCCCACAGTCCCTCCCCATCGCCTCCTCTCCCTTTGCCTTCTTCAAGACCCATCTCAAGACGCTCTCTGTGCCTTCAGGCACCCTCCTTCACCCTGTCCTCCCCCTTCACCCCCCCACCCCTGCCCGCCACGTCTCTCCGATCCCAACCCCCAGCTCGGGTGCAAACCCCTGAATGTCCAGCGCCTTGAGGTGTCCTCCCAACATGAAAGGCAGGCACCACGTAGATGCAATTTGTGGTCATTATAAATGATGCTGGGCTCAGCCTAGCAGTGCGATCAAGCTTCACATCAGAGGCTTTGAGCTGCCAGTCTTGGCTGAAACTCCAGTGGAGTCCTGGGGGGAACAGCCCTGCAATTTCACAGCTAATGTCTTTTGAATGTCCATTAGACAAACTTCTCGTCCGTTGCTGTCCTCGTGGACATGAAAGAATCCGTTGCGCTATGGGGAAAGTAGCATGTTCACAGACAAAACACACAGTCACTACACTTTACAACAATAACCCGTGAAGTACTCTGGGATGTTTCGATGCCTTTTGGGGGGGGGGCTATTATCGGGCTCGGGATTACCTTAACATCGATGGTTTGGTGGGAAGAGTAAGTTTCATTTGTTTTTAAAGATTAATTTCACTTCCGATTAAATATATATATTTAAGATAAAAAACGGAATTCTACAGAGCCAGAGGGAGCAGCTGATGCTCACTGCTGCCTTGTCTTTACCAGAGCCCTCGCCTCGCAAGCGAGAGGGCCTGGGTTCGATTCCCAGCCAGGGCGAAACCTTAGGCAAGTTTCCTAAAACAGGGTGAAATCTTTCCTTCCTCCACACACACGCTTCTGTTTATCAGCATTAAGTAGGAACCCAGTTGTTAGCAGATTGGCCGATCGCGTTTTCGGGTGTAATAATCCCTTCAAAATAATTTAAAAATAATAATAATTTGGTTGCTTGATCCACGACTGTTTGTGGGGACGCTGCTGTGCGCAATTGGCTGCTGCGTTTTGCCCACAAAATACACAGTTGATTTCCTTTTGTATCAAAGACGTGATAAGGCGCTGTATCAAATGCAAGTATTATTATTATTATACAACATACGCGGGGAAGTGATGCCCTTATTTCGACGTGTCTATAAGTTAAGCGGACAATAATAAAATACAATTAAATTAAACTAAAAAAAAGTTCCCCACGAATATAAAATATCTTCTTAAGAGGTTGTTCAGCAAAGTGTCCCTCTCTTCCTAGAGATGAAAGTTCCTTTGCCTGTTGTGTTGTGTTGTCTTCTGATGGCAATGTAGAGCCGGTTGTACGTCACGTGGCCAGCACTGTGCATTATGCTCCCTCTCACACTCCTGCACAGGGACGAAAGGCAAAAGAATTGGTGACTCACAAGGACGTAAGGAATTCTAGACGAAAAAATGACCAAGGTCCATCCAGTTTGCCTTCCACCTTCCTGCCCCTCGCGTGTATAAATGCACTCACTTCACAGCTGTTTGTTGGACATTGGCTTCCATGTTTACCCATAAATATACAGTCACTACACTTGATTCCCTACATCACTTAACAGTGGCGGAGCCAGGCGGAGGGGGAAGGTGACCATAGGCACGATCAAGGAGGGTTATCTTCAAGCGCGACCTGAAAATGGGGAGAGAGAGAAAAGGGGGGGCAAAGCGGAGGGATTGAGAGGTAGAGTTCCACAGCTTTGGGGCGTAATGGCTGAAAGCATAGCCACGATGGTGGAGCGGAGGGTTGAAGGCGGGGGACAAGGAGGAGGCCGGAGCTAGTCGGCTGGGGGCAGTGAGTGAGTATGTGACTGTGTGAGTGAGTGAGTGTGTGAGTGAGTGAGAGTGAGTGACTGTGAGTGAGCGAGTAAGTGAGTGAGTGAGTGAGATGTGAGTATGTAAGTGAGTGAGTGAGTGAGTGAGTGAGATGTGTGTGAGTGAGATGTGTGTGAGTGAGTGAGATGTGAGTGAGTGAGTGAGTGAGTGAGATGTGAGTGAGTGAGTGAGTGAGTGAGTGAGTGAGTGAGTGAGTGAGTGAGTGAGTGAGTGAGTGAGTGAGTGAGTGAGTGAGTGAGTGAGTGAGTGAGTGAGTGAGTGAGTGAGTGAGTGAGTGAGTGAGTGAGTGAGAGCGAGGTTGACTTGCCTGTGTCACTGTGACTGCCTCCTGCTCCGCTCTTCAGGAGACTGATTTCGTGGCGAGAGAACAGTGTTTGGCAGAATTCGCATTTCCTGCGCTTTCGACAGCAGCTGCGGAACATCAGTGGGTATTAATAACAACAATAAAACAATAATCTTTGCATTTGAAATATCTTGAAATTACATCTTCGAGACATCTAAACCGCCCACAAAATATATAATCACTATAGTCCCTTTACAGTGTATCCTGTGAAGCGCTTTGAGACGTCTTGTAGACGTGATAAGCCGCTGTATCAAACCGAGGATTATTATTATTATTTATTCTTTGATTTGCACACGGTCAACTCAAGCTGCTAACCTTTGCCCACGGGCTGTTAAGCCGACTCGCAAGTTAAGCCGACTGAAAAGATCGCCAACTTCAAAGCGACTGAGTGCTTCGCTGTTTGACGATAGGAAGTCGGTCTGGGAAGCAGTGTGTCCTTCGACCAAACCCCAACAGGACAATAGGAACTCAGGAGCTTCGGAGAGCAACATCTGCTGTAAGTGGCTCCTCTTTGATGTGGTGTCTTCTGTCGGTGTTGAATTACCTGGTGGAGCTTTCTACAAAAGGAAATACCGTCTTGCCTTCAACTTAGGATTCCTCAGGGAGTCGGGGACGGGGGGGTGGTGGGGGGGGGGGAGAGATGTGGGGGGGAAAGAGGAGAGGTCGATAGCATAATTGACTCACTGCACTCACCTCACCCCCGCGTCCACCCCACCCCCCCCCCACTCACCACCCCATAGAAATCTTCCCCGTCAGCAAACTGCCTATTATATCACATCAAAAGCAACCATGATTTGTGAACTCATTCACTTACTCTGATCAGGCGTTTTGCTCAATGTCTCGCTGAACCCGTCAGATTAAACAGATTTCTCGGTTTCCCCCGAGAAGGGGCAATGGGGGGGGCAATGGTGGGGGGGGTGGGGGTAGTGGGGGGGTTATCAGTTACCAAAAGGTGTGTGACCTTAGAGTCAGGGAATAACATGGATGAAATTCTCAGAGTGATAGGATCTGGAATTCTTAGACAAGATGGGAAGGAGGGTTTGGGGAGGGGCCTTAGGGGGTGGGGCAGGTTGGGGAGGGGCCTTGAGGGTGGAGAAAGTTGGGGAGGGGCTTTGGGGGTGCAAGGTTGGGTGTTTGGGGCAGATGTGGGCGGGGCAATTGGAGAAGGGTTTGGTAGGTTGAGTTTGGGGCTGGGATGGTTGGCGGTGAGATGTTTGGAGGCGGGGTTGGGGGTTGGGGTGGGGTAGTTGGGAGGTAGGGTTTTGTGCCACAAGACATTGCGTGAGCCTTTTTCCGATATTAAATTGCTGTCTAGTCACTGAGAACAATAGTAATAATCCTGGCATTTGAGATGTCTCAAAGCGCTTCATAGGATACACTGTAAAGTCCAGTGACTGTGTATTTCGTGGGCGAGAACGGGAGGATGGGCTTAGATGATTTGTAACTCTCACGTAACTCTCTGTGAACTTACTGTATTAAGACGCAAACTGCGATCAGAAGGACTGACACGACTATAGACACCACAACTAAAGTTGCGATTGTTTGCTGCTTCTGATTAGTTGCGACCACCGCCAGGAGGTCCGCGTGTTCACACCGAATCCCGATAAACCCCGAGTGGCATCTGGAAAAACACAGAAAAACAAGTCACACAAACACTCACACCACCATCCACCCCAAGCTCATCGGCAGAACCCGACCCGGCCTGGCTGATAGGCAGGACCTGGAAGGGCCGACCAGTCACTGGGTGGGGCTGGGAGTCGATACCCTCAGCTCCTGTTAACCCCATAGCCAAAGCCCTAACTAACGGGGAGGGGGGTCCTAGCTGGACAAGTAGCGGGAAAGCTTGGCCAGACAGCGACATCAATGGCCGAGCTATGTGTAGGCTTAGCTGGATAGACCCCAGCAGTTACCCCAACACACACTCTGGGCTCCCCCCAAACCTTGGCTCTTGCCAACCTGTGCCTAATACGCTCCGGAATTATGTAAACAGGGGGCGTCCCTCCAGGGAGAGAGAGAGAGAGTGCATTCCATTCCAACAATGGGACCTTTTGAGAGTGAGGTGTGAGTGTTTTTTGGGGGCCGAGAGAGGGGTGGGTGGGGGAGAGGGAGAGGGGTATTTATTTGCCTTGTGTATCTGTGTGAAAAGGACAGGATACAGTACATAGGTAGTTTGGGACACTTGCGCAGCCAGAGACCAACTGGATGACCCTGGGTGTTTTTTCACTGGCATTCCTTGTGCTCCTATGTGTTGCGCACTCACATGCAAGCTGGCGTCTCCTCCTGCACCAGAAAGCGACACGATCCGTGGAAGCAGAACTGCCGGTGGCTGTCAGGGCAGTCGGAAAAGTGTGAGCGCACAGCGGCGGCTACAGGGGCACCTGCAACAGGACCAAGAGAAATAACAGCCGTCCTGCGCTTTCACCCGGTCTCCCACTGCGTCCGGTAAACCACACAAGTCGTATCTTTATAAATTGTATAATAATAATAATGATAATAATCCTTGTATTGATACAGCGCCTTATCACGTCTTCGAGGCGTCTCAAAGCTCTTCACAGGCTAGACCGTAAAGTGTAGTGACTGTGTATTTTGCGGGCGAAAGGCGGCAGCCAATTGCGGACAGCAGCGTTCCCACAAACAGTTGTGGGTTGAGCGACCAAATTTATTATTATTATTATTTTTCTTGAAGCTGATGGCAGCACAGCCCGGCCCGGCTCAACGGCAGGACCTGGAAGGGCCGACCAGCCACTGGGGGCAGGGAATCCTCCTATTAACCCTGCAAGGGACAACCGGCAGGTGGTCTTAGCGGGACAAGCAGGTTTGGAGACTCTTAAACACGGTGATGGCTTTCAGTGTGTGTCAGACACCCAGCTGACAAAACAATTTTTTTCAAAAATAGCACAGCTGAGCCCAAATTACAGTTGTAGATGAATTAACGTGGAATTAATGGCTTTGCTTGGAGTTAAGGCAGGACCTTCATTGTTCCAGAACAAGTCACCGCTCATGGGCGTAACACAACATTCGAAAGGAATTAGGTCATTCGAAAGAGAGAGGAGTAACGAGGAGAGAGCAGGGAATTGGGATTAGAGTAAAAGTCTCAGTGGGTGATGATCGTTAGTAGGAAGAATCATGGAATCTTACAGCACGGAAGGAGGCCATTCGGCCCATTGGGCCTGTGCCGGCTCTTTGAAAAAGCTTCTCAACTAGTCCCACTCCTCCGCTCTTACCCCAACTAGTCCCACTCCCCCGCTCTTACCCCAACTAGTCCCACTCCCCTGCTCTTACCCCAACTAGTCCCACTCCCCTGCTCTTACCCCAACTAGTCTCACTCCCCTGCTCTTACCCCAACTAGTCCCACTCCCCCACTCTTACCCCAACTAGTCCCACTCCCCCACTCCTACCTATCCAATTCCCTTTTGAAAACTACTTTCAGGAATGTTTTTTTCATCCCCCTGTGCTGGGAAATCTCTGACCGATAAACAGATCATCACTTTTAATTCATAGATTCATAGAATGTTACAGCACAGAAGGAGGCCATTCGGCCCATCGAGTCTGTGTCGCTCTTTGACAGAGCATCACTTTCACTAACCCCAATCACCAGCTTTCTCCCCATAACCCGACAAACCCGTCTTCCCCCGATACCTGTCCAGTTCTCTCTTAAAAGCTGTTATCGAATCGGACTTCACTGCCCTTTCAAGCAGATCATTCCATATAATGGTATAAAAGCACAGTTCTATGATTACTGTCCGCAATTGGCTGTCGCGTTTCACCCACAAAATATACTGTCCATTCTGTGAAGCGCTTTGAGACGTCTCAAAGACGTGATAAGGCTCTGTATCAAATGCAAGGATTATTATTATTATAATTATTATGAGCCAAGCTGGGGGTTGGGATCAGGGAGTGGGTGGGAGGGCAGGGAGGGTGGGGGTAGGAGGGTGACTGAATGCGCGGTCGAAGAGGAGGGTCTCGAGACGGGCCTTGAAAGAGGCAAGGGAGGAGGCGAGGCGGAGGGACTGTGGAATGGAGTTGCAGAGGATGGGGGCAGAGAGGCTGAAGGCCTGACGGCTGATGGGGGAGCAGGCTGGTCAGGGGACATGGAGCCTGCTGAGCGGAGGGAGTGGACAGGTTGAAATATTTATAGACTAAAGCCCATCAGTTTTGCCTGGTGGAGCTTCTAGTTAATCCAATGATTCCAGCAGGACTTGGAGTGGTGTAAGACAGCTCAAATGCCCTTTCAAACGCACTTGATGAACACGGAACAGATGAGCGCAGATCACAGCAGAGAGGGATTGGTGACGTCTTTACTCATTTTAATGAAGTGTTGAGTTTATCCCTAGAGTTTTAATTGACTCCCAGAATAGTTCCTACTTCGCTTTGAATTAATCCGGTCTGTGTAAGCTCTGTTTAGCAGATAAAACCATCTCACCAGATGGAAGGCGAGTATTTCCAACAGGGATGGAGAATATTGGTTGGGATTAAATAATCTGATAAATTGATAGGACATGGTTCCCCAGTTCAATTAAAATTCATCGTCATGCTGTTTACTGCACAAATCCCTTCACTCCCTCAGACCTCCTTAACTCTCCGATCTGCTTACCCCCCCCACTCCACCACCCACTGCCTCCGCTCCGCTGGCTCCGGCCTCCTGTTCATCCCTCGTCCCCTCCGCTCCACCATCAGTGGCTGTGCCTTCAGCTACTATGCCCCCGAAACTCTGTCACTCTCTCCCCCTCCCTCCCCAACTTCAAATCCCACCTAACCACCTTCCTTTTTGTTCAGGGGACGCTGCTGGGTGCAATTGGCTGCCACGTTTCGCCCATAAAACACACAGTCACTACACTTTACAGTGTATCCTGTGAAGCGCTTTGAGACGTCTCGAAGACGTGATGAGGTGCTGTATCAAATGCCAGGATTATTATTATTATCTTTTCCCTTACTTTCTCAAGAACAGAAAACTGTTCCTATTTACACTCACTCACACAGACAGTTTAATCTGCCAATGAAGTTGCCCCATTATAGAGAAGGAAATTCTTGAATAAATGACATTGAGGTCTTAAAACGAGAGAAAAACTGCTCGGAAAATGAAACTTACCTGTCAATGTTGAGGTTGTGTTCTCCACAGCATTGCAAACAACTAGGACACCTGCCAAGAGAGATCGTAAATATACTGTTAACAAGGCTCTGAGCTTAATAATAATAATAATAACCCTAGGATTTGATACAGCGCCTCATCACGTCCTTGAGTCATCTCAAAGCACTTCACAGGATCCACTGCAAAGTGAATTGACTGTGTGTTTTGTGGGCGAAACACGGCAACCAATTGCGCACAGCAGCGTCCCCACAAACAGCCGCGGATTGAGTGACCAAATTATTATTATTATATACTTTGGGGGGAAAATCAGTCAATAAAAAAAATCAATACACAAATGTGGGAGTAAAGGCAGTGAGTGGGATTGATGGACTTGTCTATCTTGTGAAATTCTAGGAAGTAAAATTCACTGTTTTCACCAAACACGTTTTCTTAAATGCAGTTAAGGAACATAACACCAACAACAACAATTTGCATTTACCCCTTCTCTTGCCAGCCTGCGCCTAATACTTTCCGGAATTAGGTAAACAGGGTGTGTCCCTCCAGGGAGAGAGAGAGAGAGTGCACATTCCATTCCACACAAGGCGAAACTTCAGTGTGGACATGACATATTCATATTTAAGCCTTAATCTTGTGCAATTCTGTAGCTCAGTGGTTAGAGGCCTCGCCTCGCAAGTGAGAGGACCCGGGTTTGATTCCTGGGCGGGTAAAACTTCAGGCAAGTTTCCTTACTCCACACACACACGCGCCTCTGGTTACCGGCAGTCGGTAGGAACCCGGTTGTTAGTCGATTGGTGGTTGCTTTTCCGGGGGGGAATAACCACTTCAAAAAAAAGAATAAATTGGTCACTGAATCTATGGCTGTTTGTGGGGACGCTGCTGTGCGCAATTGGCTTCCGCATTTCGCCCACAAAATACACAGTCACTACACTTTACGGTGTATCCTGTGAAGAGCTTTGAGATGTCTTGAAGATGTGATGAGGCGCTGGGTCAAATGCGAGGATTATTATTATTATTATTATTGGAGACATTTCAAGGATGGGGCATAAATCCTGTAGGAAGGGATTATTACCCCCGGAAAGCGATCCGCCAATCGACTAACAACCGGGATCCACTGACTGCCGGTAAACAGAGGCGCGCGTGTGTGTGTGGAGTAAGGAAACTTGCCCAACAGTTCGACCTGGCAGGAATCAAACCTGGGTCCTCTCGCTTGCGAGGTGAGTGCTCTAACCACTGAGCTGCAGAACTGCACAATAATCTTAGGATGGCTTCAAAGAGTTAACTTGATTCCTTTTGTCAGCACCTGTTCCACTTACACCACTGTCTGTTCTCACCACTGATCTCCTGACTCAAAGCACAAGGGTATAGGGACCAATCTATAGATTGGTTACCGTTGCACCTGGATATAAACGTGTCTGGCAGCAATCACAAGGCATTAATCTACTCACCAGGTTCCAGTGGCACCAGATGCTGCAAGAACAAAGCTCCGAGGGTTTACAATGGCATTTGAGCTCCAGGGATTTCAGACCTTTGAAGTTAGGCCTAAATTGTGATCGTGTAGTGTAATGAACACCAGTTTGGTTTGAAGGTGAGTGAGGCATCAGCTATAGCTCATTTTATTGGTTCTCATTGCCACTCAGAATCATATAGTGATAATAATAATCCTGGCATTTGACACAGCGCCTTAACACATCGTCGAGACGTCTCAAAGCGCTTCACAGGATATACAGTAAAGTGTAGTGACTGTATTGTGGGCGAAACGCACAGCCAATTGCGCACAGCAGCGTCCCCACAAAGATAGTTTTGAAGGGATTATTACCCCCAGAAAAACGATTGGCCAATCGACTAACAATCGGGTACCTACTGATCGCTGGTAAACACAGGCGTGTGTGTGTGTGTGTGTGTGTGTGGTGGGGGGGGGAGTAAGGAAACTTCCCCAACGTTTTGGCCTGACCTGACCCGCCCGGGAATCAAACCCGGGTCCTCTCACTTGCGAGGCGAGGGCTCTAACCCCTGAGCTACAGGACTCCACAAAACATAACATAACATTGCCAATTGAAAGCTCCAGTGGGAGTATCATATCATAGAATCACACGGCACAGAAGGCCATTCAGCCCATCGTGTCTGTGCCGTCTCTTTGAAAGAGCTTCTGCGCTCTCCCCATAGCCCTGATCAACCCCACTCCCCACTCTCCCCATAGCCCTGATCAACCCCACTCCCCACTCTCCCCATATCCCTGATCAACCCCACTCCCCCCCCCATAGCCCTGATCAACCCCACTCCCCCTCTCCCCAAAGCCCTGATCAACCCCACTCCCCACTCTCCCCATAGCCCTGATCAACCCCACTCCCCACTCTCCCCATAGCCCTGATCAACCCCACTCCCCACTCTCCCCATAGCCCTGATCAACCCCACTCCCCCCCATAGCCCTGATCAACCCCACTCCCCCGCTCCCCATAGCCCTGATCAACCCCACTCCCCGCTCCCCCATATCCCTGATCAACCCCACTCCCCTCCCTCCCCCTCCCCCCTCCCCCCTGATCAACCCCACTCCCCCTCTCTCCCCATAGCCCTGATCAACCCCACTCCCCCTCTCTCCCCATAGCCCTGATCAACCCCACTCCCCGCTCTCTCCCCATAGCCCTGATCAACCCCACTCCCCAGCTCTCTCCCCATAGCCCTGATCAACCCCACTCCCCTGCTCTCTCCCCAAGCCCTGATCAACCCCACTCCCCTGATCTCTCCCCATAGCCCTGATCAACCCCACTCTCTCCCCATAGCCCTGATCAACCCCACTCCCCTGCTCTCTCCCCAGAGCCCTGATCAACCCCACTCTCTCCCCATAGCCCTGATCAACCCCACTCCCCACTCTCCCCATATCCCTGATCAACCCCACTCCCCACTCTCCCCATATCCCTGATCAACCCCACTCCCCCGCTCCCCATATCCCTGATCAACCCCACTCCCCCGCTCTCTCCCCATAGCCCTGATCAACCCCACTCCCCCGTTCTCTCCCCATAGCCCTGATCAACCCCACTTCCCCCACTCTCTCCCCAGAGCCCTGATCAACGCCACTCCCCCTCTCCCCATAACCCTGATCAACCTCACTTCCCCGCTCTCTCCCCAGAGCCCTGATCAACCCCACTCTCTCCCCATAGCCCTGATCAACCCCACTCCCCTGCTCTCTCCCCATAGCCCTGATCAACCCCACTCCCCCGCTCTCTCCCCATAGCCCTGCAAACTTGTCCTCCCCAAACATCTGTCTGCTTCTCCCTTAAAAGTTGTTATCGAATGGTTCCCACCGGCCTTTCAGACAATGCATTCCAGATCCCAACAACTCGCTGTGTGGAAACATTTCTTCTCACCAAAACTGGTTCTTTTGGCAACTGCTTTAAATCTGTAAAGATTTGCTAATGATGCTCAGATACAGCCTTTCTGTAGCTGCCGTTCAGTTGGAAAATGTAATAATAACTTGCATTTATATAGTGCCCCTCACGCAGGATAGCGTCCCAGAGCGCTTAGGTGAGTTCAGGTAAGTTGCGAGATATGGTAGCTTTGTGGAGTCCTGTAGCTCAGGGGTTAGAGCCCTCGCCTTGCAAACGAGAGGACCTGGGTTCAATTCCCGGGCGGGTCAGGGTGAAACATTGGGCAAGTTTCCTTACTCTCCACCCCCCAACCCACCCACACCCCCCACACACACACATGCCTCTGTTTACCAAAAGTCAGTAGGAACCCGGTTGTTAGTTGATTGGGGGATCGCTTTTCCGGGGGTAATAATCCCTTCAAAAAAAAATAATAATTTTGTCAATCAAATCGCGGCTGTTTGTGGGACGCTGCTGTGCGCAATTGGCTGCCGCGTTTCGCCCACAAAATACACAGTCACTACACTTTACAGCATATTCTGTGAAGCGCTTTGAGTTTTGCAAGCTTCACAGCTGTTTTTCTGGGGGCAGAGATTGTGGTATTTGTGCCATTTCATAATCAACCAAAGGAACGCTGAAATGTTGCAAAATCCACCACAATATGTTTAATATTGCCTTTGGGCTGTTTGTGGGGACACTACTGTGTGCAATTTGCTTCCGTGTTTCACCCACAAAATATACAGTCAATTCACTTTACACTGTATCCTGTGAAGCGCTTTGAGACGTCTCGAAGACGTGATGAGGCGTTGTGTCAAATGCCGGGATTATTATTATTATTATCCCACCTACACATGAAAATTCCAGAGATAGATTGTTGGAATGGAACGTGATTACGGCTTTGGCTGTGGGGTGACCAGGAGCCGAGGGGGAGGATTCCCTGCCCCCAGTGACTGGTCGGCCCTTCCAGGTCCTGCTGATGGGGGCAGGGAATCCTGCAAAGCACTAACTAACTAACTAACTAACCAACTAACTAACTAATGGGGAGGGTGGTCCTCGCTGCCCCCACTGTCTTATTCTGTGCAAATCAAATTAATTTGCATGTAAATGGGGGGAAGCAGCGGGGATTAGCGGGGGCAGGTCTCGCGGGTCAGCGAGTTAGCATCACATAAACCAAATCATTCTGTGCCGTAATTTTGATTTTCAAAGGAAAGCAGAGACTTCACATCAATTAGAGCTGTGGCTGCTATGTTTAATAGATTCCCCAAACCACTGTGTTCCCTGTAATTGAAATCTTTTCAAGACTTCAAATCCTGTAATTTGATTTGAAATGAAGGAACCTGAGTGTATTCCACAGTCCTGAAGTGTTTTCACTTCATCCGAGTGTTAATTAATACGGCAGAGACTTGTGTTTCTACCGTCGCAGCCCGTGAGTCTAGTTTATTTTAACATTTAATAATAATAATCCTGGCATTCGACCCAGCGCCTCATCATATCTTCGAGACGTCTCAAAGCACTTCACAGGATACACTGTAAAGTGAATTAACTGTATTTTGTGGGCGAAACGCGGCAGCCAATTGTGCACAGCAGCGTCCCCACAAACAGCCCTCAACTGAGTGATCAAACCACTATTATTATAAATATATATATTTTTCGAGGGATTATTATCCCCCTGGAAAGGAGATTCGCCAACCAACTAACAACCGGGTTCCTACTTACTGCTGGTAAACAGAGGCGTGTTGAGAAACACACAGAAACTTGCCCAACGTTTCGTCTTGCACGCCCAGCCGGGAATCGAACCCAGGTCCTCTCTTGCTTGCGAGGCGAGTGCTCTAACCCCTGAGCTACAAGGCTCCAGATAAGGCAGATTGAGTCACAGACCAGGTGGAGATCGTGGCTGAGAAATCACAGTGAGGCGTACGTACATAAATAAGATACCCTACGCCTCGAATGAGGAATTGTTTGAGCGGAGAGCAAACACAAAGCTGATACCCACATTGTCAAAGTTTGCGGACGAGGGGTTTCTAAGTGAAATGGGGGTGAGGGGTTGGGGGAGGAAGGGGGGGAAATGCGAGCAAATGATAAAGGCGAGGAATAAATGCCGGCAAAGTGGTCATTTTCTTACCTGATATAACAAGAGCGACGTCCACACACAAAGTGAACATTGTACTGCGAGGCTCTCGGGTGCTGTGTGGAGGGTTGGGCTGCGTTCGGGGAGAGACAGACCAGAGACGAGAGGCATTTGTGACCTTCAAGGCAAAAAAAACCAGAAACGTACCATCCCACTCTTAAAGCTACAGTGCTCTGTCACCCACAAAACACAGCGTCATTCTGCTTTGCGGTGTATCCCACAAAGCGCTTTGAGGTGTCTCGATGACGTGATAAGGTGCTGTATTGAATGCAAGGATTATTATTATCTTTATTATTACTCAAAAACGTCAAAGATCTGGATAAAGTGCATCTGACCTAAAAATGTAAGTTGAGTTTTACCTCCGCGAGGCATCTCGACGACGTGATAAGGCACTGCATCGACTGCAAAGATTATTATTATTTATTATAGTTTAAATACTGTAGTTTAAATCCAGAGTGCTAAGATTTTCTGGAAATCTAGGAAATGAATTGGTTTCAGACAGGAACGTACCTCAATACCCTTCCTCACAAAATATACCCACAAAATAAACAGTTAATTCACTTTACAAAGAGCTTTGAGACATCTTGAAGACATGATGAGGTGCTGTATCAAACGCAAAGATTATTATTATTATCTTTGTTATTATAATAATTTGTTGGCATCATCTGGCTCTGGGCAGATTGTTTTTGGGTTTGAAGCAGCTAATTTACCGCCATAATAGACCGAGCAGCATTTAAAAGGCAACAAGAACAAATGACATTTACACACCGCCTTTCATGTCGGGAGGACGTCCCAAGGCACTGGACAGTCAGGGATTTGGACCCGAGCTGGGGGTTGGGATCAGGAGGGGTGGAGGGTGGGGAGGGTGGGGGTGGGAGGGTAACCAAAGGCACGGTCAAAGAGGAGGGTCTTGAGATGGGCCTTGAAGGAGACAAGTGGTGGGGGGGGGGGGAGAGGTGGAGGGATTACGGGATTGAGTTCAGGAGGGTGGGGGTAGAGATGCTGAAGTTCCAACCGCCATTGGTGGAGTGGGCGAGACAGGGGGACGTGAAGCAGGCGGAAGGAGAGGACCGGCTTGTAGCGGGTTAGGAGGTCACAGAGGGAGGGGGGAGCAAGACCCTTGAACCTGTGGATAATCAGCTACATTTATGGTATCACAACGATCACTCTTTGGGAGCGTATACGTGGAATGCAGAAGAGCCTGTTGGGATCCACAGATTACTCGATTTGACTGAATCCCCAGGCTTTTCTGTTGCCAGTGAAGGAATTCAACCCTTACAGTCCCCTTGGCTCAGGTTACAGTGGATGCAGCTCCGGCCATTGTTCTGATGCAAGTCGGGGGGGGGAGAGGGGAGTTTGGAGGGGTGTGGAGGGCAGAGAAGGTGGCCGAAGGCACGGTCAAGGTGGAGGGCGCCTTGCAGGTGGCAAGGCAGGGAGAGAGGCGGAGGGAATGTGGGATGGAGTTCCAAAGGGTGGGGGCAGAGAGTCTCAGAGCTCAACCTTAGATGTGATAATGACTACCAGTGATAATGATCATATCACATACAGTATTTTTCACCAATAACATATTAATGGCAAAGTTTATATTTGCAATGAAATGCCACATTGACCCTCCAGCGATGGACTTGTCTCACAGCGCCATCTGGCGATTTATTTACAGGCTTCACAAGACAAAACATTATATAATACACTCGCTCCTTCTCTTGATCCTTCAAGGCCCATCTCAAGACCCTCCTCTTCGGTCGTGCCTTCGCCCACGCTCCTATCCCCACCCTCCGTGCCCTCCACCCTTTCTCTGATGCCAACCCCCAGCTCGGGTCCAAGCCCCTGACTGTCCAGCGCCTTGGGACGCCTTGTAATTAATTGCTGCTGTTGTTTCCTTAGTATTTCAGTATTTCTGTAATCTACAGAGAACTGAATTTAAGAATTTTCCAATATCTGAAATTTGAAGAAGTCTATAATGATAATAATCTTCGCATTGACACAGCGCCTCATCACATCTTCGAGACGTCGCAAAGCGCTTCACGAGGTACACTGTAAAGTGAATTGACTGGATATTTGTGGGCAAATTGTGGCAGCCAATTGCGCACAGCAGCGTCCCACAAACAGGCGTGGATCCAGTGACCATATTATTAGTATTATTTTTCGAGGGATTATCCCCCAAAAAGTGATCCGCCAATCAACTAACAACCGGGTTCCTACTGACTGCTGGTAAACAGAGGCGCGCGTGTGTGTGTGTGCGTGTAGAGTAAGGAAACTTTCCCAATGTTTCGCCCGGACCCACCCGGGAATCAAACCCAGAACCTCTCGCTGGTGAGGCGAGTGCTCTAACCCCTGAGCTACAGGACTATACTGGAAATGTACAGTGCAAAGCCAAAATCACCGTGTAATCCTCTGGGCATCATTGAGAAACAAGTCAAATGTTTGGAAGCAAAACAAATCCATTTAATGATGACAGAGTACAGAATAATGTCAAACACACGGGGAGACCTTGGCTGCTGCCATTTTAAAATGAAATAAAATCACACAATTATTCCCCAACTTGCATTTCCCCGCAGGTCTCCTTGTTGCGAGGGGGAGTCGGGAGAACCAGAAAAGAAATTAAATTCTACTTATTACACTGTAACTAAAAGGAGGTAGTTACAAAGTGTGGTAAGAAATAATCAGGGCTTCTGATTTTTACTTTTAACAGATAAACGCAGCTAAAACACCCCTCGATACAACAAAAAAATCACTGTTTATAATAATAATAATCCTGGCATTTGATATAGCGCTTTATTACGTCTTCGAGATGTCTCAAAGTGCTTCACAGAATATACTGTAAAGTAGTGACTGTATATTTGGGGACGAAATATCCTATAAACAGTGATTTAATTTAGGGCTTAAAGGGTTGAATTATGAGGACAGGTTGCAGAAACCTTGTCTCTATTCCCTTGAGTTCAGAAGGTAGAGGGATGATCTGATTGAGGTTTTTTAAATAAAATAAGAAAAAGGAAAATTATATGAATAAAACACCAAAAAACAGAAGCCCTGGAAATAATTGTAATGAGGATAAATATCACTTTGTGTTCAAGTTTGATAAAATTAATTGTATTTAAAATACCAAATATATATGGATATTGAAGAGAGAGAATATGCAATGCTGAGCTCTTATGCACATTGGACAACAATTTGATGTGAAAGGCGCTATACAAATGTAATTTTGTATTGTATTTACATCAATCGTCTAAGCTTAAAATATCAGTGAATTACAGATGGAGCAATGGGACAGAAAGACAAAGAGGGGCCAGACACACCTCGTTCCTCATGGTAATAATAAATAATCTCTACAGTTGACATATTTGCCTTTAACATTATGTCTCAAAGTGCTTCACCAGTGACTATTGTCAAGTGTAGTGACTGTCTGTGTGTTTGTTGGCAATGTCCTACAAACAGTCACAACACAAATGAATGACTGATTTAATTGTTGGCCTGGACACTGGGAGAGAGACACTCTCTTCTCTTTTTCAATGATAATGATAATAAAAATCCTTGCATTTGATACAGCGCCTTATCACAGCTTCGAGACGCCTCAAAGCGCTTCACAGAATATAAAGTAAATTGACTGTGTATTTTGTGGGCAAAACGCAGCAGCCAATTGTGTACATTCGAGGATTGAAGTGACCAAATTATTATTGTTATTATTTTTGGAAGGAATTATTACCGCGCGGAAAAGTGATCCGCTAATTGACTAACAACCGGTTGCTGGGTAACCAATGCGCGTGTGTGGAGTAAAGAAAGTTGCGCTGCCCACCCGGGAATCAAACCCAGGTCTCTCGCTTGCAAGGCAAGAGCTCTAACCACTGAACTACAGGACTCTACATAGTGTATGAACAAATGACATTTACACAGAGCCTTTCATGTTGGGAAGACGTCCCAAGGCGCTGGACTGTCAGAGATTTGGACCCAAGCTGGGAGTTGGGATCAGGAGGGCAGGGAGGGTGGGGGGATAGGGAGGGTGGGGGGTAGGGAGGGTGGGGGGATAGGGAGGGTGGGGAGGTAGGGAGGGTGGGGAGGTAAGGAGGGTGGGGGGTAGGAGGGTGACTGAAGGTGCAGTTGGTCGAAGAGGAAGGTCTGAGACGTGCCTTAAAGGAGGCAAGGGAGGGGGGTAAGGCGAAGGGAGTGTGGGATGGAGTTCCAAAGGGTGGCTGAATGCGCAAGCTTCTGACTGCAAGGTAAGTGCGCTGAGCCGGGCCGACTGACACCTCACCTGAAGCCCATCAGAGTAAGATTTAAAATCACGTAGTTCTTCGAAAGAGCCGCAGGAAAACCGACTGTCAAAAATACAGACATTTAATAATCCAACGCACAATATCTAAGATCGTGTTTCAACCTCAAGACGAAGACCGTAAGGAATTTGGGGCCTGTGTGCTTGTCGGAGATTGCTAAACTGGCATGGATTAACGGGAAAACTCTCCATTCGTGTATTTTAGTGTATTCGGAATATAATAATCCTTGCATTTGATGCAGTGCCTTGTCACGTCTTCGAGAGGTCTCAAAGCGCTTCGCGGTTCACACTCTCTAATAACCCACAAAGAAGGTCTGTCGGTGTCGCCGTGCGAAGGTGGTAGTCTGATAGCTGGAGGCACGAGTTCTGGAAACGTTCTGACGGACTGCACTGTAGTCCAACACGGCAGACAATACAAGTTTGTTTCAAGGCATCTCCGGCCAAACTAACGGTAACATCCCTCGAGTGTAAGTCGGGCTTCAGGGTGAACTCCATACGGAGCAGCTCCCAATCCCGGGCTGAGGCACTTCTGCTTTTAAAAAACAAACTATACAAAGGGGGGAAAACAAAATAAACAACACACACAGTCCGTGCAGAGCTTCTTCGTTTCCCTTGGGAACAATTGCTCTCTGGAGCCACTGCGGTGAACGAACAAGACCTCAAATGTCTCCTACAATAAATGCAGAGGCTTTCCTGTTGCTGTTGGTTGGGGAGTCTGAAGAGTGGGCCTGCGCTCTCTCTCCTCCCTCCCTCCCTCCCTCTCTCTTGCTCTCAGGCCAGCCCGGAGTTTTCGGGGTTAACCGTCTCGTCTCCGCTCTCGGGTTTGGCTCCTGGCGATGTGTACAGGAAGTTGCAGCAGATGTAGAGCGGGAAGATAAGGAGTCTGCTGTCCAGATTCAACACGATCTGTTCCTTTGTGTCCAACACGAGTCGGGGGGAAAGACATGCGTCAAAGGAAAAAGGCGCACAGTACAATTACGCCCACAAAAACACACAGTCACTACACTTTACAGTGTATCCTGTGAAGCGCTTTGAGACATCTCAAAGACGTGATGAGGTTCCGGGTCAAGTGCCATTATTATTATTATTAATGATAGAATCGTAGAATCTTACAGCACAGAAGGAGGCCATTTGGCCCATCGTACCTGTGCTGCTGACTCTTTGGAAGAGCTGCCAACTAGTCCCACTCCCCCACTCTTACCCCAACCCCTCCCCACTCCCCCACTCTACCCCAACCCTCCCACTCCCCCACTCTTACCCCAACCCCTCCCCACTCCCCCACTCTTACCCCAACCCCTCCCCACTCCCCCACTCTTACCCCAACCCCTCCCCACTCCCCCACTCTTACCCCAACCCCTCCCCACTCCCCCACTCTTACCCCAACCCCTCCCCACTCCCCCACTCTTACCCCAACCCTCCCACTCCCCCACTCTTACCCCAACCCCTCCCCACTCCCCCACTCTTACCCCAACTAGTCCCACTCCCCCACTCTTACCCCAACTCCTCCCCACTCACCCACTCTTACCCCAACTAGTCCCACTACACCCCCACTCTTACCCCAACTAGTCCCACTCCCCTGCTCTTACCCCAACTAGTCCCCACTCCCCCCGCTCTTACCCCAACTAGTCCCACTCCCCCCACTCTTACCCCAACTAATCCCCACTCCCCCTGCTCTTATCCCAACTAGTCCCACTCCACCGCTCTTACCCCAACTAGCCCACTCCCTCACTCTTACTCCAACTAGTCCCACTCCCCCACTCTTACCCCAACTAGTCCCACTCCCCCGCTCTTACCCCAACTAGTCCCACTCCCCCATTCTTACACCAACTAGTCCTACTCCCTCCGCTCTTACCTCAACTAGTCCCACTCCCCCACTCTTACCCCAACTAGTCCCACTCCCCCACTCTTACCCCAACTAGTCCCACTCCCCCGCTCTTACACCAGCTAGTTCCACTCCCCCATTCTTACCCCAACTAGTCTACTCCCTCCGCTCTTACCTCAACTAGTCCCACTCCCCCACTCTTACCCCAACTAGTCCCACTCCCCCCGCTCTTACCCCAACTAGTCCCACTCCCCCATTCTTACACCAACTAGTCCTACTCCCTCCGCTCTTACCTCAACTAGTCCCACTCCCCCGCTCTTACCCCAACTAGTCCTACACATTTTTCCTTTTTAAGTACCAATTCCCTAATAATAATAATAATCCTTGCATTTGACGCAGCGCCTTATCACGTCTTTGAGAGTCTCAAAACGCTTCACAGAAGATACCGTAAAGTGTAGTGACTGTATAGTTTGTGGGCTGATACCCAGACAGAAAATGTTTATTCCAAATTTTCTCTTAAATTCGTTTCATTCCACCTACAACTGAAATACATTAATTTCGAGACTTAAGCGATAAGATGCTGGCATAAACAGGTTTAATGTGTCAGCTCAACAAAGCAGCTCACCCCACTCCCCCGCTCTTGCCCCATAGCCCTGTAATTTTTTCCTTTCAAGACCCTATACAATTCCCTTTTGAAAGTTATTTTAAAATCTACTCCCACCCGCCTTTCAGGCCGTGCATTCCAGATCCTAACAACTCTGTGTAAAAAATCTCTGGTTCTTTTGCCAATTATCTTCAATCTGTGTCCTCTGATCATCGACCCACCAGCAAATGGAAACGGTTTCTCGCTCTATCTGCTCATAACATTAGATCAAGTCCTGTCTGTGCCTGTTCAGGTGAACATTAGAAATCCCATGACACTGTTGGGAGGAGAGCAGGGTGTTTTCTCCCTGTGCCCTGAACAAAACTACTCCAGTTTAAAGAGCGTATTCATTTCACAAATATTTCGAGGTTTTGCTGGTACAAGTGTGTATTTTATTTGCCTACCAAAACAGTCACCACTCTTGACTTTAACTCGTGTATCTCAACCACATTACTGAACACAAATATTATGATAACAATAATAATCCTTGCATTTGACGTAGCGCCTTATCACGTCTTTGGGACGTCTCAAAGCGCTTCACGGAATATACTGTAGAGTGAATGTTTTGTGGGCGAAACCAACTGCGCACAGCAGCATTCCACAAACAGTTGTGGATTGAGGTATCCATTTAATATTATTTTTTTGAAGGGATTATTATCTCTGGAAAAGTGATCCGACAATCGACTAACAACCAGGTTCCTACTGACTGCTGCTAAACAGAGGCGTGTGTGTGAGCAGTAAAGAAACTTGTCTAACATTTCACCCTGACCCACCCGGGAATCAAACCCAGGTCCTCTCACTTGCGAGGCGAGGGCTCTAACCACTGAAATACGGACTCCCCAAAACATAACATTGCCAATTGAAAGCTCCAGTGGGGGTGTGAGTAGCAACACACACACGACAAGGGAAAGCGCTGGGGAAAGTGATTAGACTGCTCCAGTATTATTATTATTATTATTGAAAATAAAACAAATTCCACTCTCCAACTCTCTCTCTCCCCATGTGCCCTAATGTCATTACTGCTCAGGTGCTGATCGAGTTCCCTTTGAACCATTCTATTGACCCAGCATCAAAAGCCACTCGTGCAAATCAATTCCAAACCCTTACAGTGACTGAAGAGCATCCTTCTAACCTCTCACCTGATTCCTCGGCTAGCAATCCCTTGCATGTGTGTGTGTGAAACGCTGACAGATCAGCCTTGTCTAAGTCAGACACATTCATCTGAATAATCACAGAGCTCCTTAATGCCGGCCACAATAGATCTCCCTCGTGATTAACATCACAACCTTTTTCTCAAGATATCCAGTTACTTCCCATGACTGTACCTGATCTTTCTCCAATGACAGAACCTGGTAACCAGCTGTCCGACTACAGACGACTTTCCCATTGCTGTCAAAAGATGCCAGTCTTAATCTGCGAGAGATAATGTTCACATTGAGCAAGGCCACAGATAATGATGATTCAACAAGTGTTTTTAAGCCCTCGGTACCCATTGTGCAACGTACAATGCCTCGCTTTGTTTTCTGTAAGATCTGTGTTGTTTCACAGTTGCCAGTCTGGCTTAGTTACAAGAATCCCTTACCTCTGGGTTACAAGGCTGTGGGTTCAAGCCCCACATCAGGGACTTGATTGAGCTCACACTAACTGTCCCCAGATCTTCCTGTATGTTATTTATGCTCTTGTCGTACGCACCTGCTCAAATTTCCATGATATTATGCCCTGCGTTAATGTCAACTGCAAATAATAATTTGTTTGAGTAAACCAAGGCTGGAAGTGACAAAGGTGTGAAGGAGAAGAATTATTGCATCAACAACAACTTGCACTTATATAGCGCCCTCCACGCAGGGTGGTGTCTCAGGGGTTGTGCCTCCTCAGCTCATCACAGCCGGGGGCGAGAGAAAGCGATGGACAGATGCAATACAAACAGTATGGAGGTAAACATCCACACAAACTGCCTGGCAACATCTTCCTCTTCATGCCCACCGACTCACTACATCTCCCCCCGCTCGCCCACCTGCACCCCTTACTCTCTCTCAAATTGTTCTGTGATGGTAAGGGGCTCCTCTTACCTGTAGGCGATGTTTCTGTGGGGCAGTAAGCTGACTGCTCCGTTGCAGGGCTGGCTGAGCGTGTTCCTCTTGAATATGATAAAGCGATTGGTATAAGTCACCAGCAGGTCAAACCCAAAGCTGAAGCCTGTCCAACGCCAGCAATACTGGGGGGAGAAACACCAGCCAATTACTGCAGTGCCTTGCCTTGTATCATCATCATCATCATCATCATATTGCCCACAAAACACAGTCACTCCACTTTATCCTGCAAAGAGCTTGGTGACGTCTCGAAGACGTAATGAGGCGCTGTGTCAAACCCAAAGATTATTATTATTATTTGTTCTAAGACAATGAACTAAGGGCAAAGACTGGGAGGAATTTGGAGTCTTATGTCCTCCAACAATTTGCAGCAATCAGCCCAACATCACTGTCTGAGCTTCCAATGCCCGACAGACAACATCGCCCTCCAGTGACAGGAAGTGGCATTACATCCCCACCGCACATATACAGTCTGGTTCAACAACACATGACATTTACACAGCGCCTTTCACATCAGGAGAGTGTTCCAAGGCACTGGACAGTCAGGGAACTGCATCGAGCTGGGGACTGGGAACAGGATGGAGTGGAGGACAGGGAGCGTGGGGGGTAGGAGGGTGACCGAAAGCTCGGTTGGTTGAAGAGGAGGGTCTTGAGAGGAGGGTCTTGAGATGGGTCTTGAAGGAGGCGAGGGAGGGGGCGAGGCGGAGGGACTGTGGGATGGAGTTCCAGAGGGTGAGGGCAGAGAGGCTGAAGGCCCGGCCGCCAATGATGGGGCGAACGAGGCGGGTAACGTGCAGGCTGGAGCCGCTGAGCGGAGGGAGCGGACAGGTTGGTAGGAGGTTAGGAAATCACGGAGGTCGTGGGGAGCAAGGCCAAGGAGGGCTTTGAAAGTGAGGACCAGGGTCTTGAACTGTATCCTCTGAGTGATGGGGAGCCAGTGGAATCGGACGAGTCTGCAGATCCTCTCCCCCGCCATCCCCCCTCCCCTCGGGTCCGTCTCCTCAAATACACCACACACATTCCAGGAACTCCTCACCAAACTCCAGATCAGCAAAACGCTGACCAAACAGTCAGAATATTGGCCCTAGAATGCGTAATGATGAATAATTTTGACAGCAAATGGCAGACTCACATCTCCGTCCTTGCCCAGCTTCCTCCCACACCGCATGCTGTGCATTTCGAAATCCTCCTTGTTGATTTCCTTCGGGCTGGAGTGGTAGAATTGAAGGCCATTAAAAAAAAACGACTTCGTTGTGCGGAACCCCAGGGAAGTTAGGGGTGTTATTTTTTTGTGGTCAGCCGGGTGTGTCTGACATAACCAGAAGGAAACCCATCACGATTGCTTAAGAGCTCCAAACCAAGCTGAGAATTCCCCACAGCCCACCTACACATGGAAATCCCAGCGATAGACTGTTGGAATGGAATGCGCTCTCTCTCTCTCTCTCTCTCTCTCTCCCTGGAAGGACGCCTTCTGCTTACCTAATTCTGGACAGTATTAGGCGCAGGTTGGCAAGAGCCAAGGCTTGGGGGGAGCCCAGAGTGTTAGAATATGCTTACTTAAAGGAACTAAGGTTGTGCGCAAAGTAAAAGACAACTGCTTGCAAAGCTGAAAGTGTAGTCGCAAACTACGTGTTACTGGAGGTCAGTATGAATAGCTTAAACCAGCTGGAAGAGGCCGGTACCGGATAGCCGAGGGGCTGTGGGGGAAGACACGAGATAAACCAGGATTGGGGTAAAAAGGTCAATAATCAGACTAGAAGGGCTGTGATTTGTCACACCATTGAATCCATGTTTTACATGAACGGAACAAACTGAGATCAGTTTAGGTATAAGATAGAGCTTTGCAAGGATTCTGGGCAGTGGCCAAAGGAGTTAGAGAGAGATGGGAAATTAAGTTGCTGCAAGGAACTGCCCACAAGTGTAACAGGATCCTCTGAATTGGTAAATATGCCTTTAATTCTGTAATTGTTTGTATTTCAACTATTGTTTCATAAATTCTGTTGCACCAATTTGGATTGATGGGTCATATTTCGAACTCAGGGATCGGAAATCCGAATAAGAGTGTGCGCCATGAGTCAACCCAGCTAAACCGGACAGCTTGCTATTGATATCGCTGTCTGGCCAAGCTTTCCCACTGCTTGTCCGTTAGGGCTTTGGATTGCAGTGTTAACTGGAGCTGAGAGGGTTTGAGCCCTCACCAGGTGGATGGTAGGTACCAGGTTGAGTACCTGTACAAGGAGCATGTGGCAGGGTAAAGTTTTGATGTTTTACTCGGGAAATGTGCATTGTTTCAATGCTGTGACGCTTGTCTCTCTGCCTCACTGCTCAAACGCGGTGTCAGAGGAGTGCAAGCCCAGACTCGACTCCGCACAATCAACCTTCACCTGGAGAGTGTTCCGCTTTGTTTACGGTGATAAACACAACGACCAAGTCCTCTCACTAACTGCCAGAAATACGTAGGCAAAACAAGAGGCTGTTTGCTGGCAGTGTTACTGATGCCGGCTGAAAGCAAGCACAACAGTCATTTTCAACAATAATAATAATAATAATAATCCTTGCATTTGATATAGCGCTTTTCACGTCGGGAGGACGTCCCAAAGCGCTTCACAGAACACACTGTAAAGTGAATTGACTGTACATTTTGTGGGCGAACGCGGCAGCCAATTGCGCACAGCAATGTCCCACAAACAGTCGTAGATTGAAAATGACCAATTTATTATTGTTTTTGGTTTTGGAGGGATTATTATTAGGCGCGTGGAGTAATAATCTGTTTGATACAGCGCCACATCATGGCATTGAGACGTCTCAAAGTGCTTCACAGAATACATTGTAAAGTGTAGTGACTGTGTATTTTTTGTCACAAGCGTGTCATTGTGTTTAAACCGGGGCCCATTCGAGAACTCAGCGATTGCCAATTAAGGATAGACGGAGAAACCGTTCAAAAAAATAAATAATAATAAATTGGTCGCCTCAATCCACGGCTGTTTGTGAGACGCTGCTGTTTGTCATGACCCAACTGTGCAGCGCCTTGGGACGTCCTCCTGACGTGAAAGGCGCTTTATAAATGGAATCTTGTTGTTGTTGCTGCTGTGCGCAATCGGCTGCCGCGATTCTCCCACAAAATATACAGTCAATCCACTTTAGTGTATCCTGTGAAGCACTTTGAGACGTCTCGAAGATGTGATGAAGCGCTGTGTCAAATGCCAGGATTATTATTATTATAACACAAGTACCTACCCCAAGTCATTGTCCTGTTCTGTCCTCAGCATCGCAAACCACTGTTGTTTGTACACCGAACACAGCCAATCTAGGAGACAGAGACATAGAGACATAGACCACATTATTGCAACAAGCACACGGAGCATTCTACATCACCTTCTCACCTCGGTCACTGACTTGCTCCCACCCTACCTCTCCCACCTCCTAACCCTGTATCAGTCTGTCCGCTCCCTCCGCTCGGCGGACACCGGCTGCTTCAAGTTTTCCCGCACTTCCCGCCCCACCCTCTGGATCTCACGCCCTCTTTTGCCTCCTTCAAGTCCCATCTAAAGACGTTCCTCTTCGACCGGGACTTCGACCACCTTCCCACCCCCACTGCTGCCCTGTCCTCCACCCCTCCTGACCCCAACTCCCAGCTCGGGTCCCAAAAAAGCCCCGACTGTCCAGCGCCCTGGGAGGTGAAGGGAGGGCACTAATCTGTTGTTGTTGTTGTATTGACCAATGTGAAGCTCTGAATGTGGATGATGGCATGGGGTCACTGCAGTGTGTCAAATCCCCAGGTACCTACCTGAGCAAATAATCCTGTCCCGTTCAATGATTTTAGCAGAGGTCAGATCATTGATGACGTACTGCAATCGAATATGCTTGAAGACCGTAGCGTAGGGCTGCCCTTGTTCTGTGTCCAGGAAACTGCCACAGCTGTAGGTGTCTGTGAGTGTACAAGAGAAAGCCAACAGCTCCACCATTACTCCTCTCCAGCACCGCAAATAATTAGGATAATTATCCTTGCATTTGATACAGCACCTTATCAGGTCTTCGAGACGTCTCAAAGCGCTTCACGGGATATACTGTCGAGTGAATTGACCGTATAGTATATTGTGTGGGTGAAACGCGGCAGCCATTTGCGCACAGCAGTATCCCACAAACAGCTGTGCAGTGAGTGACCGATTTTATTTGGGGGGTTTGTTGCCCAGGACACCAGGAGAGAGAGGAACTGTTCTTTCTGAATAATGTTGTGTGACATCTTTAACGTCCACCTGAACAGGCAGACGGGACTTTGGTTTAAGCCTCACCCGAACGGCACGGTCTCTGACAATCCAACACCCACTTCCCAGCGCTGAGGTGGAGCATCAGCTTAGATTGTGTGAGCCTGACGTGGGGGCTTGAACCCACAACCTTCTGACTCGGAGGAGAGAGAGAGAGAGAGCGCGAGTGCCAGGATGGCACACTTGACTCATATGGAGAAATATACAGTGCAGAAGTTTAATGAAGGAATGTATCTTTCTGAGCTATAACACTCTGCAATTCTCTCTCCTGGTGGCTGAGAGAAAGAGCCAAATCACAGCAAGTGACACAATACAAGATTATATTTGTAAAGCGCCAAGGTGCTGTCCCACAGACAGCCATGGAGGGAGGGAGTGGTTTTATTTGGGGGATTTGTTTGCGGAACATTGCCTTGGAAGTCCTCTCGAAATGAAAGACAATACACCTTATATACCACAGCAAGTACTGCACCTCAAAGCTACAGTTTGCTTTATTACTGATGGACCATTAATCTGCACAGAACACTCTATTCCACTGATAAAAAGAACTATGTCACCGTAACTATGGTCTCACCCTTTCAGCTATCTAATTCCCTGTCAAAATATTATGTGATGTGGTTTCAGCTTCAACAATGTTTTGTGGCAGAGAATTCCACATTCTCACATTAGCTCAGTGGTTAGAGCCCTCGCCTCGCAAGCGAGAGGATCCGGGTTCAATTCCGGGCGGGTCAGGGTGAAACGTGGGGCAAGTTTCCTTACTCCACACCCACGGCTCTGTTTACCAGCAGTCAGTAGGAACCCGCTTGTTAGTCGATTAGCGGGTGGCTTTTCCGGGGGTAATACTCCCTCCAAGAAGAAAAAAAGATTAATTTGGTCACTCAATCCACGACGTGTTTGTATGGACTCTGCCGTGCGCAATTGGCTGCAGAACCGCATTAATCTACACCACCACAGCCAGTGATTTCCGTGAGCAGTGAGTAAAGACAGCTCACCCTTCCTGCATTTGGTGAACCAGGCATCTGCATCTGTCAACAGCTGCTTCAGAGACCCATTCCAGGATGGCACAAGCTGCAGGAACATCCACTGAGAAAACAGGGAGGGTTAGCTCAAACAGAACCTGCAATCGAGTAGAGCTCTTTACTCTAACCCCATTCCCTGCTCTCTCTCTCTCTCCATCGTGTCTGTGCTGGGGCTCGCTCCCCCACTGGAACTCTCTACTTAACCGAGTCCTGTAGCTCAGTGGTTAGAGCACTCGCTTTGCAAGTGAGAGACCTGAGTTCAATTCCAGGCAGAGGGCGAAACCTTGGGCAAGTTTCCTTACTCCACACAGAGCCTAATAATAATCCCTCCAAAACCAAAAACAATAATAAATTGCTCATTTTCAATCTACGACTGTTTGTGGGACATTGCTGTGCGCAATTGGCTGCCGCGTTCGCCCACAAATATACAGTCAATTCACTTTACAGTGTGTTCTGTGAAGCGCTTTGGGACGTCCTCCCGATGTGAAAAGCGCTATATCAAATGCAAGGATTATTAGTATTATTATTATTCCCTGCTCTCTCTCTCTCTCCATCGTGTCTGTGCTGGGGCTCGCTCCCCCACTTGTGTTCTAACCCCATTTCCTGGTCTCTCTCGCGCTCTCCCTCTCTCTCTCTCTCCCCCTCCCTCTCTAATCCTATTATCACCCCTTTCACGCGTTGGAGCTTCAGATTGACAGCAGCAAAACATCAGTGAAATACAAATACCTTCTTCAGAGCCGTGTACACATCCATCTCGACTTGCATCACAAACAAGTCTGGGGAACTGATCAGCTTCTCCATTAAGCCTATGCTGGACCAAAACAATGACAGAATATGTTGAGTAGCTGCTGATAAACCAATTGTAGTTAACAAATATTTCCAGACTCTATTGATATTTTTGGTGATCAAAGCTACACACATTGTGAATGCCACAGTAACCGATCAACAACAACATACCTATCAGGAAAGGCTGAACATGCCTGGACTCTTTTCACTTGAAAAGAGGAGGGTAAGGGGTGACCTGATAGAGGTCTTTAAAATGATGAAAGGTTTTGATAGGGTCGATGTTTCCGCTTGTGGTGGAGACCAAAACCAGTGGCCAGATCAAATAGGGAAGTAAGAAGACATTTCTTCCCACAGAGAGTAGTGGGAATGTGGAATTTGCGACCACAAGGGATTGTGGAGGCAAATAACACAGATGTATTTAAGGGGTAGCTGGAGAGGTACATGAGGGAGAAAGGAATAGAAGGTTATGCTTGAAGGCTTAGTTGAGGAAAGGCAGGAAGAGGATCATGTGGAGCATAAACACCGGCACAGACCAGTTGGGCCGAATGGCCTGTTTCTGTGCTGTATATTCTAACGGATTCTAATGTTTTTAACACATGACATTTACACAGCGCCTTTCACGTCACGAGTCAGGGATACCCACCTGAGCTTGGGGTTGGGATCAGGAGGGGTAGAGGGCGGGGATGGGTAAGGGTCGGGTGATGACCAAAGGCATTTAATGGGGATTTCAGCAGCAATCATGTTAGCATGCAACAGGATTCAGTTCTGTTCTGCCAGACAATCCAGGAAAAGGATTCTCTGTTATTGTCAATTACCTCAGTTCCTTTAAGAGTTCGACGCTTTGGTGAGTCATTAAGTTGTTCAGAAGCCATTCAAGGCATCTGAAATAAAAGAGAAAAGACATTAGATACATGGAGTCTTGTAGCTCGGTGGTTAGAGCACTCGCCTTGCAAGCAAGAGGACCTGGGTTCAATTCCCAGCAGGGCAAAACCTTAGGCAAGTTTCCTTACTCCTCTCTGTTTACCCAGCAATAAGTAGGAACCTGGTTGTTAGTCGAATGTCGGATCGCTTTCCGGGTTAATAATCAAAAAAAATTGGTTACTGAACCCACGGCTGTTGTGAGACGCTGCTGTGCACAATTGGCTGTCGGCTTTCACCCACAAAATACACATACGACAACTTGTATTTATATAGCGCCCCTCACGCCGGGCTGCGTCCCAGAGCGCTTGATTTCACACAGGCAGTTCACTTTACAGTGTATCCTGTGAAGCGCTTTGAGACGTCTCGAAGACGCGATAAGGCTCTGGTCAAATGCCAGGATTATTATTATTATTATTATTATTATCCCTGCTGGGGATAATAATACTTTACACCAGTGGTGTAAAGAGCAATCCGATTTACTGTATAAAAGCAATGTGACTGAAGAGGACGAGCAGAAAAGCCAATTTGACCACTTACTTTTGCTTGACTGAATCCAGCCCATAGGTACCGGCTGCTGTGTAGAAGCCACAGACTGTTTTTGAACTGATTGTCTCCTTCATGGTCTCTCCGCATTGTAGAATCAAACCATCCTTCAGCAATTAAACAGGAGGAAAGGCAGGGAGTGTGAGTGAAAATGCAGGGCACAGGAGGTGTCATCCGTTGCTATCTAAAGCACTGAACTCATCAATACTGTCACAACAACAACTTGTTACACAGCCCCCCACCCCCCCGCCCCTCCCCCACGCAGGGCAGCGTCGCAGAGTGCTTGGCAGTGGCGGAGCTGAACTCCGAGCCGGGGGAAAGCGGGGGGAGGTGACCGTAGGCTCGGATAGGGAGGTTTTCAGGCGCGACATGAAGATGGGGAAGGAGGGAGGGATAGAGGGAGAGAGTGACAAGAGTTTCGGGGCGATATTGGCTGAAAGCGTGGGCGCCAATGGTGGAACGGTGGGGGAGGGGAGGGCACACCGGACATGAACAACACACATGCGAGGGCTCTAGCGGCTGGCGCTACACTACAGGACTCCCAAGTTGTCGCCATGGTCTGTATTGGCTGGTTTGTGTGGCACTCACCAGCTGAAGCATGCAGGCCGCTGCCAGGATAGTCACCACCCGACTGGGCTGGATCAGCACGTCGTCCCGGTACAAGGAGCCGAAAGCCACCTGCAGTGCTGTGAGGAACAACAATGGAATAAGTCTCTCGTCAAGTCACAAATGCCTCGGTCAGGGGGAAACCTGAACAGAAAAGAATAATAATCTCTGCGTGACACAGCGCCTTATCACGTCTTTGAGGCATCTCAAAGTGCTTCACAGACTATACTGTAAAGTGTAGTGACTGTATGTTTTGTGGGCCAAACGCGGCAGCTAATCGCGCACAGCAGCGTCCCACAAACAGCTGTGGATTGACTGAACACANTTTTTTTCTTTTGAAGGGATTATTAGCCCTGGAAAAGCGATCCGCCTATCGACTAACAACCGGGTTCCTACTGACTGCTGGTAAACAGCATGGAAACCTCAGATTAGTTTGGATACTCTTAAATATGGTGAGCTTGCGCAGGTGTCAGACACCCGGCTGGTCAAAAATAAACACTACGTTAAAAGAGAACTGGCAATAAAAGCTTACCTTCAGTGTCGATGTTCTGATCTGGGATCTCCAGCTCTATGTAGTTCATATTGGACTCCTTCCACGATCCACTGAACATACTTGAAAAGTAACCAGACTGTAAAACACAAAAGATACAAATCAAATGGCTGAACAGCATGCCTGATTTCTTTGACAAACTATTTCCTCTGGTGGATGGGGGAATCCAGAACAAGGGGTGGGGTGTATCAGCTTAAAACTAGAGCCAGGCCGTATAGGAGTGAAATCGGGAGAAATTAGATTTGGCATTTATCAAGCGTACACAGCAGTGATTGAGAATACATTACAAGCATCAAGGTATCATTCATTTCAGCACACAGCAGCAATATACCTACGGTTTTGTGGTTAGAGCACTCAGTCGCAAGCGAGAGGACCTGGGTTCAATTCCTGAGCAGGTCAGGGTAAAGCGATGGGCAAGTTTCCTTACTCCACACACTCAAACACACACCTCTCTTTACCAGCAGTCAGTAGGAACCCGGTTGTCAGTTGATTGTCAGATCACTTTTCCGGGGATAAAAATCAAAAAAAAAATTGGATCACTCAATCCATGACTGTGCAATTGGCAGCCATTTTCCCCCAATAAAATATACTGTCAATTCACTTCACAGTGTATCCTGTGAAGCGCTTTGAGACGTCTCGAAAACGTGATAAGGCGCTGTATCAAATGCCAGGACTATTATAACATCTCAAAACGCTTCATAGGGAGTTACTGTCCCTGACTTACGTTCTCTGATGCGGCGACTGATATTTACTCAGTTTTACAAGTATTTAGTTTGGAAAGACACAATTTCCGCAGTAAGATATTTTATTAAGGATTCCAGAAACTTGAATCCTTGTTCCTGTTTTTTTGCTGTTGCTACATCAAACACAAGGATTATTTTTATCATTATTGTCATCTGTTCCTATTAATTTCCATGAATTAGTTTGTTTTGACCTTTCATGTTCCTTGTTTCATCACTCCTGCGTTCATCACGTTCCTTTTATCTAAAGATACTGATCTTAAAAACTTTCTGTTCTCTGTTTTTAGAGTTATGAAACTTTTTTTTATGTTCAACTGAGGGGCATAAACCTCATGTTTCTTCTTGCTAAGGAAGTTACTAACTCTGGTGCTCAAACAACCAAGCCTCTTACAAAACAGCCTCTAAACTGTCCCTCCATAATTATCATTCAATTTTGTGAAACTCTTTGTGATGCTCATCCTGCCCGGATGAAAGTGCTACTGTATATAAGTAATAATAATAATAATAATAATCCTGGCATTTGATATAGCGCCGTATCACGTCTTTGAGACTTCTCAAAACGCTTCACAGGATATATTGTAAAGTGTAGTGACTGTGTGTTTTGCAGGCAAAACACAGCAGCCAATTGAGCACAGGAGTGTCCCACAAAAGATGTGGATTGAGTGACCGATTTATTCTTTTTTTAAGGATTTATTACTCCGGTAATAATTATTATCCCCGGAAAAGTGATCCACCGATTGACTAACAATCGGGTTCCTACTTACTGCTCAGTAAACAGAGGCATGTGGACAAAGGAAACTTGCCCAACATTTCGCCCCGCTGGGAATCGAACCCAGGTCTCTCACTTGCGAGGCAAATGCTCTAACCACTGAGCTACTAGAAGGGGAGAAAAGAAGGGGAAGAAAGCCATAACAGTCACTTAATGAAGTTTATTGACAAATCGAGCTGGGTTTATTTTTCTGCTCTGCATCTCGTGTGAGGGGGAGAGAGGAAGGGTGTGTGTGTTCTACAATGGAATGGAAATTCCTAGAACTTTAAGGAGGTTGGTTATTTTCAGTCGCTTTGTTGACTGGGTGGAAAGGGATTTTAAAAGCCTGTGCCAATGAAAACACAGCAGCTGCCTACACCTCTGTCTTTAAAGTTGTAACTAGCAGCTGCAACCACGACAATCATGTTGTACAATACAAGGCTATTCATTTCAGCGTTCTCAGCAGACTATCAGACATCAAGAGGGCTACCAAATGATGGTCAAACACTCGGATGTGTATTTTTAAGTCACATTAAAAAAAAACTGGTGCATCTGCTTACGGCTAAGGTCAAACCACTGCCAGGAACTTTGCCTTGAAGGTTGGAAAACGAGCTGTGTGTGATTTCCTTCAGTCTGGAAAATTACACAGCAGAGACTCGCAGTAATTGATCTCCACTGTTGGGACAGGATTTTATTTAACCAATCCTTTTCATCATCCTGCTGTGCCCTTTTTAGGCTCAGTAATTAAATCAGAATCCTATAGCATTTGAACTGTCGCTTGGTCTGAGAATAGCAACATCTATTTCTGCATTATCTACAATTCCGCCTTTTAATTTAGCCGCATTCCAATGATCTGGGCCAGTTGCATGTTCATAAGATTCAGGATTCAGGATTCCTCCTCCCCTAGCAGAAAACAAGCTTGCTATATTTTTGCAAGGTTTCTGGTCCACGGAAGGTATTTTCTATGCACTGATGAAAAGAAAAGCACTTGCATTTTTTTACGTTGGAATATCTTAAAATGCTTTATTCTGAGGTCAGGCCTTCAGCCTCTCTGCCCCCACCCTTTGGAACTCACAGTCCCTTCGAGTCGCTCCCTCCCTCGCCTCCTTCAAGGCACGTCTCAGGACCCTTCCCTTCAACCGCGTTCAGTCACCCTCCCCACCTCCAATCCCTTCTGATCCGAACACCCAGCTCGGGTTCCAATCCCTCCCTGACTGTCCAGTGCCTTGGGACGTCCTCCCGATGTGAAAGTAATTTGTTGTTGTTGTTACAGTGATTATTATCTAATGTAGTGATTCTTTTCACAAGCAAACACAGCAGCCACTTCCCACAGAGCAAGATCCCATAAACCACCACGAGATGAATGGCCAGTTAATTTGGAAAATTATTGGATCTTTTATGAATAATTTGATAAGGTGGACGTTTTAGGCTGTTTCCACTTGTAGGTGAGTCTGAAATGAGGGAAAAAAATATTGGGTCTGACCAGGTGAATATAGTCTCATTGGTCTCATCTGTTGCTGCGATATCGATCCTCTCCACCTTTTGACGGATCTTAATTGGAAAACAGGAGGTGCGGAGCCCTACCTGACACAGGTAGATCTTGTGTAGGTTCCATTCCTGTCCCAGAGCGCAAATGGTGATGTCGCTGTTCTCTCCGGCGAGGAAAAGGGTCTGGTAAATGTACTTGGATGTGCTCTTCAGCTTCTTTCTGGAACAACAATAAAAAAGGAACTGTTCAGAACAGGTGTAGGGTTAGGGTTGGGGTCAGCAAACTTGGCTTCATGTCCTGCCAGCTTTGGGAGTGGTCTGTAGACTGAGGGGGGGCTAAGAGTTCAATCAATCAATTGCACAACTAACATTAGAGTTTCAGATCACAACAGTTTGCGCTCTTCACGTGGGGTAGCGTCCCAGAGCCCTCAACAGTGGCGGAGTCTGACCCCGAGCCAGAGGAGAGGGAGGGGGCGAGGCGGAGGGATTGAGGGGGAGAGTGACAGGGTTTCAGGAAGTTGTGGCTGAAAGCACGGAGAGGGGACGAGGGCCGAGGCCGGAGTCAGCCGAGCTCACTCAAAGCAAACTGTGGGCTCACAAAATTTTGGGCTCAGACTCCCTGACATGGGGGAAGAGGGGGCTTGAACCCACAACCTCCTGACCCTGGAGGTGAGAGAACGAGGGGGTGAGCCCCAAACAGTTTCCTAACAACAGTCCATCTGGAATGGGGAGCAGCCAGACAGGGTGGGGGGGTGGGAGGGGGGGGTGTCACCGACCTGCGTGGGACGCTCAGCTCCTCGGCCTCGCTCTCCGAGCACTCGCACTCCTGCTCACGCTTCCTCTTCCTCCGCTCACACTCGCACACGGGTGCTCGGGGCAGACTCAACCGGCTGCCCAGAGAGCCCATCCCCCTCCCTCCCCCTCGCCCTCCCCCTCCTCACCCCCTCGGCACCGTGTGTCAGTGTCTCGCTGTGACCGTGGATGACGGTTGTTGACAGTTTAGTGACCGTTAGCGGTTATTCGAGCGGTGCTGACGGTGGTTGACAGTTGTTTGAGCGCTGTTGGCAGTTGCTGTGGACGGTCACGTGATCGTTAGGAGGTGATGGCTATTTGCCGGTGTGTTGTGCGGTGCGGAGCGACACACAGTCCGTCACTGACCGTTAGTGACGGTTAGTTTGCTCCGGTTTATTTGACGGCTGTTAACAGTCAGGGGAGGGCGACGGTAACCCCGGGTGGGTGACGGTCACTGTGGGTGACAGTGACTGACGGTGACGGTGACTGACGGTGACGGTCACTGTGGGTGACGGTGACTGACGGTGACGGTGACTGTGGGTGACGGTGACTGACGGTGACGGTCACTGTGGGTGACGGTCACTGTGGGTGACGGTCACTGTGGGTGACGGTGACTGACGGTGACGGTCACTGTGGGTGACGGTGACTGACGGTGACGGTCACTGTGGGTGACGGTCACTGTGGGTGACGGTCACTGTGGGTGATGGTCACTGTCGGTGACGGTGACTGTCGGTGACTGTGACAGTGATTCTGGGTTACGGTGACTGTGGGTTACGGTGACTGTGGGTGACGATGAGTGACGGTGACTGTGGGTTACGGTGACGGTCAGTGACAGGAAGTGCCGGTGCTGTGCGGGTCAGTGGCGGTGAGCGGCGGGTGTTTGCCGGTTAGTGCCGGTGACGTGGCGGCTGTCGGGCGGTCGCGGCTCTGACGCTGATCTGACGGTCGGTGACGGTGACGGCGCCGCCATGTTGTGCCGCGTGGCATGCCGGGCCGCGGCGCCACCAGCCAATCAGGAGCCAGCAGCCGCTTAAAGCGAGGACGTCCCCGATCGCCGCGCCCCCCCCTGGCTGGCGGCCAATATACGGCCACGGACCGTAATTGCGCTGCGCTGCGCTGCCTGGTGTCAGTGTGACTGGTCACCGCAGGTTTACACTGCAATGACGTGACTCTGGCCGGAGAGAGCCATCCCCGGGCCTGTCCCAGGAGGCCGCAGACTGTCATATTGTACGGTTAAAAAATAAAAATAATAATAATAATAATAATCTTCTCACTTCGATCCACGACTGTTTGTGCGGACGTCGTTGGGGGCGCAATTGGCCGCCCGCAAAATACACAGTCGCTACACCTTACAGTGAATCCCGTGAAGCGCTTTGAACAGGAAAATATATCGCGCCCCCACCCACCCCCCCCCCCCGCCCCGAGTTAGCAATGTAAAGCATCGTTCGCCGGGCGTTCACTAAAATCCACGCACGTGACAAAAACACACAGTCACTACACTTCACAGTGTATGCTGGGAAGCGCTTTGACACGTCTCAAAGATGTAACCAGGACCTGCATCAAATGCCAGGATTATTATTATTATTATTATTATTATTATTATTATTATTATTATTATAATAAAACCCTCGTGTTTATGGTGACCTTCAAAGATCCTTAGGTTGAAGGAGTAAATGCATTCACTTAACATAACATAACATGTAGGAGCAGGAGGAGGCCATTCGAGCCTCTGCCCCGCCATTCAATCATGGCTGATCTTCTAATCTAACTCCAGCTAATAACCTGACCCTGCCTTACCCCCATATCCACCCCCAGCCTCCCCCCCCCCGCCTTACCCCCATATCCACCCCCAGCCTCCCCCCCCCCCGCCTTACCCCCATATCCACCCCCAGCCTCCCCCCCACCCCCCCTCCTGCCTTATCCCCATATCCCTTAATCCCTTTTGCAACAAGAAATCTATCTCTCTCAGTCTTGAATATGTTCGAGGACTGAGCGTCAACAGCCCTTTGGGGTAGTGAGTTCCATACATTCACTGCCCTTTGAGTGAAGAAGTTCTTCCTCAACTCAGTGCCAAAGGGCTGACCTCTGATTTTAAGGTTGTGACCCCTGGTTTTAGTTTCTCCAAACAGGAAACAATCTCCCACTGTCTACTCTATCATTGCCCTTTGATGATCTTATAGGTTTCTATAAGATCCCCTCTAATTCTTCTATATTCTAGAGAATATCGGCCCAAATTGGTCAACCTATCCTCGTAACTCATCCCCTCCATCCCTGGTACTAACCCAGTAAATCTACGCTGCACACCCTCCAAGGCAAGTACGTCCTTCCTTACATAAGGAGACCACAACTGCACACAGTAGTCCAGGTGTGGTCTCACAGGGCCCTATACAGTTGCAGTGAGACTTCCCTACTCTTATACTCTAATCCTTTCATAATGAACTCTAACATATCGTCCGCCTTCCTAATTGTTTGCCTGTTTATGGAACATGTGCAGTCCTGTAGCTCAGGGGTTAGAGCCCTCGGCTCGCAAGCGAGAGGACCCGGGTTCGATTCCCGGGCGGGTCAGGTCAGGTTGGGCAAGTTTCCTTACTCCCCCCCCCACACTCCCCCACCACACACACACACACACACATGCGCCTCTGTTTACCGGCAGTCAGTAGGAACCCGGTTGTTAGTCGATTGGGGGATCGCTTTTCAGGGGGTAATAATCCCTCAAAAAAAAATTGGTCCCTCAACTCACGGCTGTTTGTGGGGACACTGCTGTGTGCAATTGGCTGCCACGTTTCACCCATAATTATTACACTGAGGTGTTGCTGAGCCCCTTGTGGTGCACTCTGTGGGGTATTTCGGCTATTTATAATAATCTTTGCATTTATACAGCGCCTTATCATGTCTTCGAGACGTCTCAAAGCTCTTCATGGGATACATTGTAAAGTGTAGTGACTGTATATTTTGTGGGCGAAACGCGACAGCCAATTGCACACAGCAGCGTCCGCACAAACAGCCGTGGTTTGAGTGACCCAATTTTTTTTTAAGTGATTATGATTTGTAAGTGCAAACCTGGACTGTGAGCTCAGAGTCCACCGTGTGTGGGAGGGGAGGGGAGGGGGAGGGGGAGTCCGAGCTCACAATCTCCTGACCCCAGAGGAGAGCGCGAGGATATCTTTCCGAGGATTGGAGAGAAAAAGAATGATTTCACATCACTTCCCAAGTTTTCTTCATTCTTTTTAATTTCATTAATTTCAAATTTTCTTTCGAAAACAAAGGTTAGATTCAGCCCAAAGCGCTCTGGTTATTAAAGTAATAAAGGAAAAGCAGGTCAGCTACCGTGATTCTCTCCCCGCCAACCCCCGAGCCCCCACCCAAAAAAACTTCTCTGCAAAACTAGCAACCTAAACGTAGTGACTGTGGGTTCGGTAGGTGAACGCGGTGCTTATGGAAAAGTCCACAAACTACACAGTCATTCCATTTAGTGAAGCGCTTTGAGACGTCTCAAAGATGTGATAAGACCCTGTATCAAATCCCAGGGTTGTTATTTATTATTCTCTCCTGGTGTCCAAATTCCATCTGGTCTTACCCTCATGATGATTATCTATGAGTTTTGGACAAGATTTGTTTTTGGGGGAAGGGGAGAAAATCCTTAAATTTAGTCTTACTTTTGTTTTGATGATGTGGGGGTAGAGAGTGGGGGAAACTGACCTTCAAATCAATGTCACATTTTCAAAGAATTGTGCAGTGGCATCTCGAATCAGTGATCTTTAATGGTAGACAGCGGCGGATTTCAGCTCACGAATGGATAATCACTCTGACTCACACAAGACACGCACACACACAAAACACACACACGAGACACACACTCACACAAAACACGCACACACACGAGACACACACTCACACAAGACACGCACACACACAAAACACACACACACACGAGACACACACTCACACAAAACACACACACACACGAGACACACACTCACACAAAACACACACACACACACACGACACACACACATACACAAAACACACACACGACACACACACACACACAAGACACACACACAGACGACACACATGCACTCAACACACGCACACACAAGACACACACGCTCACACACAAGACACGCACACAAAACACACACACACGAGACACACACTCACACACAAAACACACACACACACACAAAACACACACGACACACACACACAAAACACACACACGACACACACAAGACACACACACAGAAGACACACATACACTTAACACACAAGACACAAACACACAAGACACAAACACACAAAAGACACACACGACACACACACTCACACACAAGACCCACACACAAGACACACACACACAACACGACACACACACGATGCACATGCACACACACGACTCATGCACATAACACACGCAGACATGTATTCCAGTAAACGTAAAAACGTTATGGATGGATCAGGCTTAATGCCAGGCTAACTACACAGCACCATCATCACACGTGATTAGAAGATCGCGACTGTAACATTAGTGAGCGAGCAGATCAGGTCTCGGCAAAGCTGTCACGTGCGGGAAGAGGTTTCGGGAAAAATCCCCTTCAGCAATCTCCACCGCAGAGCTGGAGCAGGATCTTCTTATAATCACCGGAGCAGTCACCCTGGAGAGAGAGAGAGAGAGCGAGAGAGGTGTGTGAAGCAATCCGCTAAACACAAGACGCGCGCACACACACACTCACACATCCACACACACACGCTCATACACTCACACATACCCACACACACTCACACATCCACACACACACGCTCACACACTCACACATACCCACACACACACACTCACACACCCACACGCTCACACATACCCACACACACACACTCACACCCACCCCCACACACACACCCCCCCCCCCACACACAGGTGGTAGGTAAATAGAGGTGTGCGGAGTAAGGAAGCTCTTACTTTGATGAAGGAGTACAAACTTTTGCCGTACTTGGCCTTAAACTCAGAGCAGATGTCCAGCATATCAATCTCACAGCGAGACACCATCACTCTGATCAGAGTGCTGTCCTCAGTTCCAAGTCCCTGGAAACGAAAGAGCAGCGGCTTATAATAAGGATAATCCCGGCATTTGACCCAGCGCCTGATCAGGCCGTTGAGACGTCTCAAAGCGCTTCACAGGATACACTGTAAAGTGTAGTGACTCTGTACTTTGTGGGTGAAACGCGGCAGCCAATTGTGTACAGCAGCGTCCCCACAAACAGCAGTGGATACACACACACATTGAGGCGGGCTGACACACACACACACACACACACACAGAGCCGGGCTGACACACACACACTGAGCCGGGCTGACACACACACACACACTGAGCCGGGCTGACACACACACACACACACACACACACAGAGCCGGGCTGACACACACACACACACACTGAGCCGGACTGACACACACACACACACACACACACTCACTGAGCCAGACTGACACACACACACACACTGAGCCGGGCTGACACACACACACACACACACACACTGAGCCGGGCATCACTCAATCTGTCACACCCCTATTCCACAAGCTCGTACAGTAAGTGTGAAGCCTGACACAAACCCTCACGTTACAGTAAGTGTGAAAGGAGAAGCAGTCACTGACCTTCATGGAGGTGTAGAGCCTTTCAGCAAAGTAAGCAGGACGGCTTTTCATGCACTTAACTGGAAGAAAGAACAAAAGTGTTCAGAGACAGACTGAAAGATAATAATAATAATCCTTGCATTTGATCCAGCACCTTATCCTGTCTTCGAGACGTCTCAAAGTGCTTCACAGGACACAGTGGAGTGGATCGACTTATCACGTAAAGACGTGATGAGGTGCTGTATCAAATGCAAGGATTATTATTATTATTATTAATTATTATTATCATTTTATTATCACGCGAGATAATATTGTAGCTCCTCCCAGCACTGCACTGCGTCAACCTGGTCTGTGAGCTCAAACCCACAACACACCCTGACCCCAGAGAGGAAAACAACAACAACAACTTGCATTTATTCAACGTCCCGGAGCGCTTGACAGTGGCGGAGTCTGACCCTGAGCCGAGGGGGGGGGAGGGAGTGGGGAGGTCACTGTAAGCACAATCCAAAAATGGAGGTCTTTAAGCAGGAATTTGAAAGTGGGGAGGAAGGGGGCGAGGCGGAGGGATTGAGGGAGAGAGTGACAGAGTTTTGGGGTGTAGTGGCTGAAGACACGGCAACTGATGATGGAGTGGAGGGGACGAGGGACGAGGGACGAGCAGGAGGCAGTGGAGTGGGGGGGAAGGAGGCTGGAGAGGTAGGGAAGGAGGTGTGAGGGCAGGAAGGGATTTGGAAGTGAGTGAGAGGATCTTGAAGTCGATCGAGAGCAGGAGAGACAGAGACAACTGGAAGGGAAGAGAGGGAGACAGGAAAGGAGGGCGGGAGGGCGGGCGGGAGGGAGGGAGAGACTAACCGATGGCCAGCAAAGAATCCTCGAGGCTGCCTGACATTTCGGACTTGATGCTGCTCTCGATGTCCTTCTTGGCTATTTTCTTGTACTCGTCAAACACTGAGGAGACAAGGAAGAGATGATTAGTTTCCACACCGGCGGCTGTGAGCAAAGTCCAGAGAGAAAAGGCAATTTATCCAACACCTGCACTGCTCACTGCAGAGGTGATAGCTCAGCGCTGACAGCCTCCCCTCGCAGGCAAGAGGACCTGGGCTCAGGGTGCAACATCCTTACTGCACACACAGACACACACACACCACACAGACACACAGACAGACAGACACCCACACACAGACAGACACACACCCACACACGCACGCCTCTGTTTACCAGCAGTCACCGGTTGTTAGTTGATTGGCCGATCGCTTTCCGGGGATAATAATCTTCAAAAAAATAAATTGTTCACTCAACCCACGGCTGTTTGTGGGGACGCTGCTATTTGCAATTGGCTGCCGCGTTTCGTCCACACAACACACAGTCACTACACTTTGCAGTGTATCCTGTGAAGCGCTTTGAGACGTCTCGAAGACGTGATGAGGCACTGTGTAAAATGCGGGGATTATTATTGTGGCTGTAGCTATTATTACTGTTGTTCGCTTACCCTGGTTCAGGTGGGCCGGGTTTCTAGTGCAAAGAATAGAGAGAAACGCGACTTCGTCGGTTCCCCACTGCTTCTCCCCGGCCTGGTACAGCGTCTGAACCCAACAACAACAACAACAAGATTACATTTGTATAGCACCGGGAGGGGAAATACGGAGCCGGAGCCAGTCGAGCGGAAGCAGCGGGTAGAGGAGTGGGTGTGGGGGTTGGGGCGCAGGAGGAAGCAGGTCCGAGAGGTAGGGAGAGGACTCACCTTGGCATCGTCTTTGACCTGATCCATTGACACGCTGTTGCTTTCATCCCGGTTCCCCTGAGAGCAACACAGAGACACTCGATACAATCAAACACCAACAGCTTGTGTTTATATCGTGCCCCGTGTGGGGTAGCGTTCCTGGGGTGCTGGACAGTGGCGGAGTCTGGCCCCAAGCCGGGATTGGGGGGGGGGGAGATGGAGGGGGGACATGGTCGTAATCAGAAAGGGAAGGTCTTTAGTCAGGATGTGAAAGTGGGGAGGGAGAGGAGGGGGAAAGGCGGAGGGATTGAGGGAAGAGAGTGACTGAGTTTCGGGGCGTAGTGGCTGAAGGCAGGGCCACCGATGGTGGAGCGGAGGGAGAACGAGGGAGGCTGGAGCCAGTCGAGCAGAGGCAGCGAGTGAGGGAAATGGGGGTAAGCAGGTTGGAGAGGAAGGGAGGGAGGGAGGGAGGGAGGGAGGGAGAGGGAGAGAGAGGGAGGGATTTGAAACGAGTGAGAGGATCTTGAAATCGATGCGTTCAATAATTGGGAGCCAGTGGGAGCCTGGCGAGGCTCGGGGTACCCACCCACACACACACACACACACAACACAGCCAAACCCCTCACCCACAATTCATCACCTCCCACCCTCCTCACCGCTCTGCCCAGGCTCCACTATTCACGAAATCCAACCAGTTCCAAACTCCACCACCCATCTCCTTACACTGGAAATAGGTATATAATTCTCTCTCTCCCTCTCCCTGGAGGGACCCGTACTGCTTACTTAATTCTGGAGAGTATTGGGCGCAGGTTGGCGTGAGCCAAGGCTTTGTGGGGGGGTGGGGAGGAGCCCAGAATGTGTGTTGGTGTAACTACAGGAGTCTAACCAGCTAAACCCACAGCTTGCCATTAATATTGCTCTCGTTGTCAGGTTACCATCTGAATGTGGATCAGTTAATGAGACAATGAGGTACTTACAGTTGACAGAGAGACCAACACTCTCTTAAACATTTGAGATGTGTCTCCGCTGATGTCATCCTCAAGACTCTTGCCAAACTCTAGGAACAACAACAGCAACAACAACTTGGGTTTATATAGCGCCGTAATCATGTCTTTGAGACGTCTCAAAGCGCTTCAGGGACTCTAATGTAAAGCGTAGTGACTGGGTGTTTTGTGGGCGAAACGTAGCAGTCAATTACGCCCAGCGACGTCCCCACAAACAGTCGTCAACCACATTATTATTATTATTTTTTTATTCTATTTTAAATGCTGTCCGTACCTTTCTTATACACAGCGACAACCTCCTGGACCTCTCTGTTCTTCCTTGATGCCAGGATTTCAATCAAACAGCCTTCGTCCGTGCCAGCGCCCTGCACAGAGACCACCGGTCACTCACCAATAACAACAACTTGCATTTACACAGCGCCCCTCACACAGGGCAGCGTCCCAGAGCGCTTAACAGTGATTCTCACTCAGACACTCTGTCTCTGACTACAGTAATAATATAATAATAATCCTTGCATTTGACACAGCACCTTATCATGTCTTTGAGACGTCTCAAAGCGCTTCACATACTATACTGTAAAGTGTAGTGACTGTATATTTTGTGGGTGGAATGGGGCAGCCAATTGTGCGCAGCAGCGTCCCACAAACAGTCGAGGATTGAGTGACCAATTTATTATTATTTATTATTTTGAAGGGATTATTACCCCCAGAAAAGCGATCCACCAATCGACTAACAAGTGGGTTCCCAATTAAGGCTAAGTAATCAGAGGCATATATGTGTGTGTGTGTGTGTGTGTGGGGGAGGGGGCGCTGTGTGTGTGTGTGTGAGGAGTAAGGAAACTAAGGTTTTGCCCTGACCTGACCCACCCGGGAATCGAACCCGGGTCCTCTCGCTTGTGAGGCGAGGGCTGTAACCCCTGAGCTACAGGACTCCTCAGTGAGGCACTAAAACCAACCTTGATTGAGTTTCTCAGCTGGTGAGCATCATACAGAGCAGGAGTCATCATCATTCCGACAACCACGGTCTCGAAATTCCCGGAGAGCTCCGACTTCAAGTCTGAAACCAGGTCCTAATCCAAAATGGCGGGTGGGGAGGGAGGGAAACCAACACATTAGTGCCCGGTTACAAACTTATAACAATAATAATAATCCCTGCATCTGATACAGCGCCTTATTACATCTTCGAGATGTCTCGAAGCGCTTCACAGGATACAACAACAGAACAACCAAATGACATCTATAGAGCGCCTTTCACGTCAGGAAGACGTCCCAGTGTTGGGGCCCGAGCATGGGGGGAGAGGGGGAGGGGGGAGGGGTGCTTTAGGGGTGAGGGAAGCCAGAGAGGTGGGAGGGAGACCAAAGGCACGATCGAAGAGAAGGGTCTTGAGACGGTCTTGAGGGAGGCAAAGGAGGAAGTGAGGCGAAGGGACCGTGGGATGGAGTTCCAGAGTGTGGGGGCAGAGAGGCTTAAAGCCCGGACACCGATGGGCGGGAGACATGGAGCAGACCAGAGCCCACTGAACGGAGGGAGCGGGCAGGTTGGTAGGGAGTCAGCAGGTCAGAGAGGTAGGAGGGGGCGAGGCCATGGATGGCCTTAAAGGTGAGGACGAGGATCTTGAACTCGATCCTTTGGGGGATGGGGAGCCAGTGGGGTCGGGCGAGGGTGGGAGTGATGGGGTCAGGCGAGGGTGGGAGTGATGGGTCGGGCGAGGGTGGGAGTGATGGGGTCGGGCGAGGGTGGGAGTGATGGGGTCGGGCGAGGGTGGGAGTGATGGGGTCGGGCGAGGGTGGGAGTGATGGGGTCGGGCGAGGGTGGGAGTGATGGGGTCGGGCGAGGGTGGGAGTGATGGGGTCGGGCGAGGGTGGGAGTGATGGGGTCGGGCGAGGGTGGGAGTGATGGGGTCGGGCGAGGGTGGGAGTGATGGGGTCGGGCGAGGGTGGGGGTGATGGGGTCGGGGAGGGTGGGAGTGATGGGGTCGGGCGAGGATGGGAGTGATGGGGTCGGGCGAGTGTGGCCGTGAGGAATTTTGGGTGATCTGCAGGTTGTGAAGGGAAGAGGTGGGAAGGCCGATGAGGAGGGAGTTCCTGTAATTGAGCCTTGAGGTGACGATTGTGTGGGTGAGGGTTTGGGGGCCTGAGGGGTGAGGCAGTGGCGGAGTCTGGCAATGCTGTGGAGGTGGTGGTAGGCAGTGCCGGTCATGGTGCAGATGTGGGGGAGAAAGGACAGTTCAGGCTGTAAAGTGTAGTGACTGTGTTGTGTTGTGGGTGAAATGCGGCAGCCAATTGCACACAGCAGTGTCCCCACAAACAGTTGTGGATTGAGTGACCAATTTTTTTTTTGGAAAGGATTATTATGTCTGGAAAAGCGATCCACCAGCAAACTGACAACCGGGTTCCTGACTGCTGGTAAACAGGCGTGTGTCTGTGTGTGTGGGGTGGGGGGGGGGGGGGGGAGTAAGGAAACTTGCCCAACGTTTCACCCTGACCTGACCCGCCCGGGAATCGAACCCGGGTCCTCTCGCTTGTGAGGTGAGGGCTCTAACCCCTGAGCTACAGGCGAGGGCTCTAACCCCTGAGCTACAGGTGAGGGCTCTAACCCCTGAGCTACAGGTGAGGGCTCTAACCCCTGAGCTACAGGTGAGGGCTCTAACCCCTGAGCTACAGGTGAGGGCTCTTACCCCTGAGCTACAGGTGAGGGCTCTAACCCCTGAGCTACAGTGAGGGCTCTAACCCTGAGCTACAGGTGAGGGCTCTAACCCCTGAGCTACAGGTGAGGGCTCTAACCCCTGAGCTACAGGTGAGGGCTCTAACCCCTGAGCTACAGGTGAGGGCTCTAACCCCTGAGCTACAGGTGAGGGCTCTAACCCCTGAGCATTATGAGTTGAACTCTACACTGTGAAGCCCAGCTATTGAGAATGTCAACCAAAATGCAAACCATTCCAACCTATTCTCTGCTCTCTCTTTCTCGCTCTCTCTCCTGTCTGTCTCCCATCGTGTCTGCGCTGGTGCTCGAGGCTTGAGGGGCTGAATGGCCTCCCCCTGTTCCTGTTCCCCCCACCTCCCACAGTTGGCACACGCACCCTGCCGTACGCAGTCTTGAAGCTCTGAAGGATCTGCTGCCTCTGTGCGACAGTGCGATTGGCCAGGATCTCAATGATGGCATCTTCATCAGTGCCTGAGAGGAGAAGACAGGCTCACAACAACAACAACAACAACAGCAACTTGCATTCACACTGCGCCCCTCATGTTGTCTAGTGTCCCAGAGAGCTTGACAGTGGCGGAGTCTGACCCTGAGCCACGGGGGAGAGGGAGGGAGGGGGAGGTGACCGTAAGCACGATCAGAAAGGAAGGTCTTTATCTGGGGGGGAGTGTTGGGCCAGGACACCGTGTGTGTGAGAGAGAGAGGGAGAGAGAGCAAGGGAGAAACTTCCTTCTCTTTTCCAGGCAGCACCATGGGGGAGATCTTTGACGTCCGCCTGAACAGGGCACAGACGGGGGCGCGTGAGTGAGATTTAACCTCTCATCTGAAGGACGGCATCTCTCTCTCTCTCTCTCTCTCCCACCCCAGCGCTGCACTAGAGCCTAAACCTGGACCGTGACCCTGGACGTGGGGGTTCGAACCCACATCCTACTGACTCAGACGCGAGAGAGAGAGAGAGCGCCACATGCTGACAAGGCGGCTAAATGGAGGGAGATTTGGTTGTGTTTCTCACCGATCCCTTTCATGGCTTTCCTCAGTTTGGCAGCATCGTCCTGAGCGTTGAAGGAGGGGAATTCTCTCACGGTGCCTCGGGAACCCACCTGCAAACAACAACAACAACATGTGTTTACACGGCACCCCCTCAGCGTCCCACAGCACTTGACAGGGAGGGAGGGGGTGACTGTAGGCACTGGTCGAAGAGGAAGGCGTGACCTGAAGATGGGGAAGGAAGGGGGCGAGGAGGAGGGAGGGAGAGAGGGACAGAGCCACAGAGTTTTGGGGAGTAGTGGTTGAAAGTGCGGTATATGTGTGTGTGCGTTTGTGTGATGCGTGTGAAAGCACGTGCATGAGAGTCAGTGCGCGTGTGAGAGAGTGAGCTCGTGACTGTGGTATGCGGATGTGTGTGTGGTGTGTGTGTGTGAGAGTGAGTGTGTCTGCATGTGAGAGTGTGCACGCGTGTGTGTGAGTAGCGTGCGTATGTGTGGTGTGTGTGAGAGTGAGCGTGTGTGCATGTGAGAGTGAGCACACGTGTATGGTGGGTGTGAGAATGAGCGTATGTGTGTGAGAGTGAGCACACGTGTGTGTGATGTGTGTGAGAGAGTAAACGCATGTGTGATGTGTATGTGTGAGAGTGAGCGTGTGTGTGTTGTGTGTGTGTGAGTGAGCGTGTGTGTGTTATGTGTGTGAGAGTGAGCGTGTGTGTGGTGTGTGTGTGTGAGAGTGAGCGCACGTGTGTGTGGTGTGTGTGTGAGAGTGAGTGCGTGTGTGGTGTGTGTGAGTGAGCGTGTGTGCGGTGTGTCTGTGCGGTGTGTGTGTGTGAGACTGAGCGTGCCTGTGGTGTGTGTGAGTGAGCGTGTGTGTGGTGTGTGTGAGAGTGAGTGTGCGTGTGTGTGTGAGAGTGAGCCCGCGCGTGTGTGTTTGTGTGTGAATGAGTGTGCGTGTGTGAGTGAGTGCGTGTGTGTGTGAGTGAGCGTGTGTGTGAGTGAGCGTGCATGTGGTGTGTGTGTGTGAGTGAGCGCGTGTGCGTGTGTGGTGTGTGTGAGACTGAATGTGCGTGTGGTGTGTGTGTGAGTGAGCGTGTGTGTGTGAGAGTGAGTGTGTGCATGTGGTGTGAGTGTGTGAGTGAGCGTGTGGTGTGTGTGTGTGAGTGAGCGTGTGTGTGTGTGAGAGTGAGTGTGTGGTGTGAGTGTGAGTGAGCGTGTGGTGTGCGTGTAGCGTGTGGTGTGTGTGTAGCGTGTGGTGTGTGTGTAGCGTGTGGTGTGTGTGTAGCGTGTGGTGTGTGTGTAGCGTGTGGTGTGTGTGAGTGAGCGTGTGGTGTGTGTGTGTGAGAGAGAGAGACACAGAGGGAACAATGAATTAAGTGACTGTTGGACGGAAGCCAATGGTACAGTCAAACCAATCCCCAAACCATCTGTGTGTAACTTTTGTTGCCGCATTTGCCTATAAAACCCACTCACTCCCACTCCAAGTCCTGTAACTCAGTGGTTAGAGCACTCGCTTTGCAAGTGAGAGACCAGAGTTCAATTCCAGGCAGAGGGCGAAACCTTGGGCAAGTTTCCTTACCCCACACAGAGCCTAATAATAATCCTCCAAAATAAAACAATAATAAATTGGTCATTTTCAATCCACGACTGTTTGTGGGACATTGCTGTGCGCAATTGGCTGCCGCGTTCGCCCACAAATATACAGTCAATTCACTTTACAGTCTATTCTGTGAAGCGCTTTGGGACGTCCTCCCGACGTGAAAAGCGCTATATCAAATGCAAGGATTATTATTATTATTATAAACAACAACACAGCGCCCGCCAACCAGGGCAGGGACTCGGGGCACTAACTAATGATGGAGCCTGACGTAGGGAGCGAGGAGATGATCATAAGCACAGTGGGTGAGGAAGGGGGAGGAAAGGGGCCAAGGCGGAGGGATTGGAGGAGAGAGTTCCAGAGTCTTGGGGGTGCAGTGACTGAAAGCGCAGCCCCCGATGGCAGAGTGGGGGGGTGGGGGGGCACAAGGGAGGGAGGGAGAGAGGGGGGCAGGTGGTGGAGAGGGGGAGTGAGCAGGTCAGAGGGGTAGGGGAGGTGCCAGGGAAGGACCTTGTGGAAGGAATGTGTCAGGATTACTCAGTGCCACTCCGCCCCCCGGGTCTGCCATCTGGTGACTCAGGGTCACGAGACATCAAAAGCTCCTCTGCTGCATAAACACAAGCGGATTCACACAGCAAAGCAAAGCTCCACCCTCTGGTGTGTGAACCGTGAAAGGCTGTGCCCACACCGGTGCCCACTTCCCCCCCAGCGGAACCTCGCAGGGAAAATCGCTGTAATGTAGGCAAACAAGGCGGGCAGCTTGTGCGCAAAGCGAACATCCCCAACCGCGAAGCCAGCGAGTGATCGTATCGGGGGGGGAAACGCAGGGCACAAGGGACAAGCAGGAGGCGGGAGCCAGACAAGCAGAGGCAGCGGGCTGTGGGGGTAACAGGTGGGAGAAGTATGGAGGTGCCTCAGACAGGAGTGAGACCCCCCCACCCCCACTGCTTACCCCCCCACTCACTGCTTACCCCCCCACCCCTGTGCCGTGAAGAGTTAAATTGGTTCAGAGCAAGAAGCAGATTTCTCCCAGCTGTAGCTCTGCAGTTGGTTGTTGGTGTAAGGAACGCTCCGGCTTTGTCTTAGTTACAATCAGCTGATAGTCCCATTGCGGAGCCAGCTCCCAGCCTGTCTAAACCAACCCCAAACCCACCCGCAGGTGGGGGACCACATGCAGATTTACACAGGCCCAGCTCAGTGTGTGCGCGTCCGTGTGTGCGAGACCGGCTCAGTGTGTGTGACTGACTGGACCGGGAGTGGGGAGGGGGGGAGAGGCTGATAAGAGGGTCGGTAACCTCAGGACTTACTGCGGCCATGATATCTTTACGCGAAGATCTTCCTGTAAAGAGAAAGAGACACAGAGAGCTCAGCGATGTCCAATTATCATCCTCAGAATAACATTCACCCAATTGCTCTCTGATTACTGACAGCCACAGCCTAGAATCCTGCACCTCTGTATTTGATACAGTGCCTTATCACGTCTTCGAGACATCTCAAAGCGCTTCACAGGATACACTGTAAAGTGTAGTGACTGTAAATTTTGTGGGCAACGCAGCAGCCAATTGCACACAGCAGCATCTCCACAATGACCACATTAGTCTTATAACCTCTCATTGTTTGGGTTCCTGCAGCAGATCAGAGGAGCTGAACATACACGAGTTGTCAGTCATTCCTACAACACCAGGGCATAATCAACTGGGTGTTGTCACTCATTAAACATCACAATAAACAGACTGCAGCCTTACCAAGCACCAGCACAGAGAGAGAGAGAGAGCAGGGAATGGGGTTAGAGTAGAGAGCTCCAGTGGGGGAGCGACCCCCAACACAGACACGATGGGGAGAGAGAGAGAGAGAGCAAGGAATGGGGTTAGGAGAGCTCCAGTGGGGGAGCGACCCCCAGCACAGACACGATGGGGGAAGAGAGAGAGAGCAGGGAATGGGGTTAGAGTAGAGAGCTCCAGTGGGGGAGCGAGCACCAGCACAGACACGATGGGGAGAGAGAGAGAGCAGGGAATGGGGTTAGAGAGCTCCAGTGGGGGAGTGAGCCCCAGCACAGACACGATGGGGGGAGAGAGAGAACAGTGAATGGGGTTAGAGTAGAGCTCTCCAGTGGGGGAGCGACCCCCAGCACAGACACGATGGGGGGAGAGAGAGAGAGAGAGAGAGAGAGAGCAGGGAATGGGGTTAGAGTAGAGAGCTCCAGTGGGGGAGCGACCCCCAGCACAGACACGATGGGGAGAGAGAGAGAGAGAAGAGAGAGCAGGGAATGGAGTTAGAGAGCTCCAGTAGTCTGTGAGCTCAGAGTCCCTGATGTGGGAAGGGAGGGGGAGAAAGAGGGGCTCCAACCCACAACCTTTTAAGGCACAACCTCACTGAGGGGAGCTTCAGACGAGAGAAAAATAGGTCTAACAGGATATGTGAGGAGCGAGGCAGGGTGGCACTGGAGTTTAGCGCAGGAACTAGTCCGACCGGGATAGCAGCAACTCTCCCAGAGTCTGGCTGGAGCCCAACAAAGCTCTGCCCCCCCCCACCCCCTCCCCGGCCACCGAGCAAACACAGCAACTCACCTTCTAACCCTGCACTTTGACAATTTCTCAATCATTCTCCCTCCGTTCCCCCCCACCCCAACCCACACAAACACACACAACACACACTCACCCCTCACCACACACTCCAAACACTCCGCACACACAATCACCACACACACATACATTCTACACACACACAGTCCACACACTGTCCACACTCTCCACACACACACTCTCCACACACACACTCTCCACACACACTCCCCCAAGTCCCTTTAACAAAACGCCTTTGGCTCTCTTCCACAAAATGTACAGTTTCTCCGCTTTACAGTGTATTCTGTGAAGCGCTTTGAGACGTCTCAACGACGTGATAAGGCGCTGTATCAGATGCAAGGCTTATTATTATTATTATTACTCCCCCATCCAAAAAAACCATCCTCTCTGTGACACATAAAAGACTGAAATAGACAAAAAATTGCAGTAGGAAGTTTAGAGAGAAAGTTTGAGTGAGTCAGAGAGAGTGAAGTGAGTCAGTCTCAGTGAGTGAATGAGTGAGTGAGTGAGAAACAGTGTTGGTGAGTGAGTGAGTGAGTGAGTGAGTGAGTGAGTAAGTGAGACGGTCAGAAAGTGAGGGAGAGATACTCAGAGATTGAGTGAAAGTCAGAGAGTGAGTGAATCAGAATGAGTGAGTGTGAGAGAGAGCATTGCTTGCAAGTATATCTCACCGAGTGAAGTTGGTTCCTGTTTGACAGGAGGTTAGAGGAGGACAGAGTGAAGCTGTTGTAAGTTGCTCTCACACTCGGAGAGGGAGATTATCAATAGCCTCTCACAGCCTCTCAGTTCCTCTTTCTCATACTCCCTCCTCCCTCCTCCCCTCTCGCACCCACACACCAATCCCTGCCCAGAAAATCACTCAGACAGACTGAAAGGAAAGATCACTGACTCACAGAGCCAACTCTCCCTCTCTCCTCCCTCCCTGTGACAATCCTTCCATTGAAAGCTGAAATGTAGACTTGTTGTGAAGTGTAGTGACTGTGTGTTTTGTGGGCGAAACGTGGCCGCCGATTTGCCACACAACCACATCCCCGCATACAAACGTTTTTAAGCAAGCGAGCCATTGTATCTGGAAGGGATTGGGGCAGAAGGAGAGTTGGGGCTCGATCCCACAATCTCCTGAGCCCTGAGGCAAGAGGCTGAACCTGGGGCGGGATTGAAATTTGAAGTGGATTTGGGCTTAAGGCTGAGACAATGATAAATTTGAGGCCTTTATTGAGGACCATAAAGTAAAGGTGACATGTAACTGATGGACAATCATTAATTAACGGTGTCAACCTCCAGGAGCTGCTCACACACTCCCTTTATCTGATCGAGAATCATTAACCAAACTTAAACTTACAGGACCTGAATCAGCCATTGTATTGTGTGTGTGTGAGCTCAACCCACACGCACACACACACACGCACACACACACGCACACACACACGCACACACAAACATACACACGCACACTCCCACACAAACACACGCACACTCCCACACAAACACACATGCGCACACTCACACACAAACACACACATGGACACACACAAACACACATGCACACTCACACACATGCACACACAAACACACACACACTCAAACACAAGCACACACATGCACACACACAAACACACATATTCATACACATGCACACTCACACACAAACACACACACTCACACACAAACACGCACACTCACACACAAACATACACACGCACACTCACACACAAATACACACATTCACACACACGCACACTCACACACAAACACACGCATGGACACACACAAACACACATGCACACTCACACACAAACACACACACGCACACTCACACACAAACACACACACGCACACTCACACACAAACATGCACACTCACACAAACACACACACGCACACTCACACACAAAAACGCACTCACACACAAACATACACACGCCCACTCACACACAAACATAAACACGCACACTCACACACATGTACATGTCTGTCACTCCCTCAAACATCTATCAACAAGCCCTGTAGCTCAGTGGTTAGAGCACTCGCCTCACAAATGTGAGGACCCGGGTTCGATTCCAGGGAGAAGCTCCTGTTAACCATGCAAACCAAAGCCCTAGCGGGTAGGGTGGTCCGAGCCGACCTCTCTCCCTCCATCCCTCCCTCCGCCTTGCCCCTTCCTTCCCCATCATCAGGGTTGGGATCAGGAGGAGTAGAGGACAGGGAAGGTGACTGAAGGTGGGGTCAAAGAGGAGGGTCTTGAGATGGGCCTTGAAGGAGGCGAGGAAGGGGGGGAGCAAGGCAGAGGGGCTGTGGGATGGAGTTCAGAAGGGTTCGGGGCAGAGGGGCTGAAGGTCCGACTGTCGATGGTGCAAATAGATGAAACACTCTCTGATGTGAATCTCCCCTCAGGTGATTCTGTGGGACATTCCCGTCTCTCTCTCTGACTCTCGTTGGCTGGGTTTGTGTTTCAGATGAGCAGTGACCTCTCGTCTGTTCACCCCACCTCACACTGGACTTGGCGCTGACACCCCCCCCATCCCCAAACCCCCTCCCGCCCGCCGTCGTGGCTAACAGGAGAATTGTTAGGAGCTGCTGTTCACACAATCGTTGCCTAACAAGAGAGAGAGCGTTTAACAACCGCCTCAGGAGGTTGAGGTTACAGCTTTATCTTAACACATTAAACCGTCTCCCAGCGCTTCACACGGTCCACTGGAAACTGTACTGACTGTGTGTTTTCGGGGCAAGTGCGGGGGCCAATTTGCGCACAGTCATGCCCCCAAATAGCTGTGACCGGGAGAGATATTGCATTTAGGGATTGTCGGCCAGGACACCGAGAAAGAGAGAGCGAGAGAGAGAAAAACTCCCTTCTCTTTAACGTGCACCTGAACAGGGCTTAGGCTGTGACCTCTTCCGAAGTTAATCAAGTAAATAACAATAAATTGCATTTATACAGTGAGTTTCCGTCGGGAGGATGTCCCAAGGCGCTGGACAGTGAGGAGGGTTTGCACCTGAGCTTGGGGGTTGGGATCAGAGAGTCTGACACAGACGGAAACCCATCACCGTGACCAGCCGGGTGTCTGACACACACACGGAAACCCGTCACCGTGACCAGCCGGGTGTCTGACACACACGGAAACCCGTCACCGTGACCAGCCGGATGTCTGACACACACGGAAACCCGTCACAGTAACCAGCCGGGTGTCTGACACACACGGAAACCCATCACCGTGACCAGCCGGATGTCTGACACACACGGAAACCCGTCACAGTAACCAGCCGGGTGTCTGACACACACGGAAACCCATCACCGTGACCAGCCGGGTGTCTGACACATATGGAAACCCGTCACCATGACCAGCCGGGTGTCTGACACACACGGAAACCCATCACCGTGACCAGCCGGGGGCCTGACACACACGGAAACCCGTCACCGTGACCAGCCGGGTGTCTGACACATATGGAAACCCGTCACCATGACCAGCCGGTGTCTGACACATATGGAAACCCGTCACTGTGACCGGCCGGGTGTCTGTCTCACAAGGAAATCTGCATAGCAGGGCAGAGTGAGCACTGACCTGTGAACTCCTTTACCGAGGAGTCAGTGGCCGGCCCCCCAGCCCCTGCCTCCCCTGCAGCAGACACTCTGATGTTAGTGTAACATACTTGGAAACTCAACCAAAGTTAATATTGGCCTTGATTCCCCATTAACCTGAGCAATGATTGACCAGAGACATGACATTGACCTGCATCAGGAGAACAAAGGCTCCTTGGTTGAGAAATTAAACCTCCTCCACTCCCCGTCTGTGCCCCGTTGAGACAGACGTTAAAGATCTCCCACGGCGCTGTTGGGAAAAAGACGGGAGTTTCTCTTGCTCTCCCTCTCAGTGTCGTGGCTGGCAATTCCCCCCACCCAGATACAACAGATACAATTACTTTCTTTCCCCGATTTTCTCTCAATATTTTTCAGATCTTTAATCATCCAATAGACTGTAGTTAAGTGCTCCAAAACACCGTTCAGAGTGACGGGAGCTATAAAAATGCAAGTTGTTGTTGTAGGTTATTGTGGAAGTCCTGTAGCTCAGTGTTTACAACCTTCGCCTCGCAAGCGAGAGGACCTGGGCTTGATTCCCGGGCAGGTCATGTCAGGACGAAATGTTGGGCAAGTTTCCTTACTCCACACCCACACCCACACCCCCCCACACACACACACACCCACACACACACACACACACACTCACACCTTACTTACCAGCAGTGAGTAAGAACCCGGTTGTTAATAATTGTTGGATCACTTTTCCGGGGATAATAATTCCTTTTAAAAAAAAATAATAATTTGGTCACTCAATCCACGGCTGTTTGTGGGGACGCTGCTGTGCGCAATCGGCTGCCATATTTCGCCCACAAAATATTACAGTCAATCCACCTTACAGTGTATCCTGTGAAGCGCTTTGAGACGTCTCGAAGACGTGATGAGGCGCTGTATCAAACGCAAGATTATTTTAGATTATTGTTGACATTGTTTGTCTGCGAGTCACTAAAAGCCCGTTGCTTCGTAAATCATTTACAGAGGCTCACTGCGAGAAAGAGATGGAACAGATTATTGCTTGTGTTGCAAATCCATTAACAGCAAATATTTGAATTCTAGCATTTAACTCTATTTTAAGTACCAAGTGCACTTTGCTTATATAGTCCCAATAATAAAATAATAATTAGAATGTATTAAAATATACAGATTTAAGATAATTGGTAAAAGAACCAGAGGGGAGACAAGGAGACTTTTTTTTTATTTTACGCACAGAGTTGATACGGTCTTGAATGCACTGCCTGAAAGTGTGGTGGAAGCAGATTCAATGATAACTTTTATCCCAACGCACACTCTGGGCTCCCCCCAAGGCTTGGGGATGAACTTCGAAAAAGATCCTTCCTCAAGGAGGAGGAACAACAGACTATCTCTAAACCACAAGCTGTTTTTATCCCTTATCCGTCATTTTCTCATGGATTGGCCTCCAGCTGGAGAAAGAGCTGCATTACAGTTTTTTTATGAACAACAACAAAATTACATTTATGGAGCACTTTTCAAGCCGGGAGGACGTCCCAAGGCGCTGTAAAGTCAAGTGTCGGGGCCTGAGCACGGGGGAGGGGTGGGGTAGAGGTGAGGGAAGGCAGAGAGGTGGGAGGGTGACCAAAGGCACGATCGAAGAGGAGGGCCTTGAAGGGGGCGAGGGAGGAAGCGAGGCAAAGGGACCGTGGGATGGAGTTCCAGAGGGGAGGAGGGGGCGAGGCCATGGATGGCATGAAAGGTGAGGACGAGAATCTTGAACTCGATCCTCTGGGGGATGGGAAGCCAGTGGAGTCGGGAGAGGGTGGAGGTGATGGGGTCGGGCGAGGGTGGGAGTGATGGGGTCGGGCGAGTGTGGCCGTGAGGAATTTTGGGTGATCTGCAGGTTGTGAAGGGAAGAGGTGGGAAGGCCGATGAGGAGGGAGTTCCTGTAATCGAGCCTTGAGGAGACGATTGTGTGGGTGAGGGTTTGGGGGCCTGAGGGGTGAGGCAGTGGCGGAGTCTGGCAATGTTGTGGAGGTGGTGGTAGGCAGTGCCGGTCATGGTGCAGATGTGGGGGAGAAAGGACAGTTTGGGGTCAAACAGGGCCCCCAGGTTCCTGACCGGCTCAGTGAGGGTGAGTGTGCAGCCGTGGAGGCTGATGCTATCCAGCGCCTGAGGTGCGGAGGCGCTGGCGTGAGCCAATCAAGAGGGCCTCGGTCTTGCTGATGTTCAGTTGGAGAA